TTGGTTCATTCAATAAAAAAATAATTTTATTGGTTTTTGTTTACCATTATGGTTGTCTGATTGCACTAGTTCCGTACGAAACTAGATGTATTTTTGATATTTTGAAATTATAAACTATAATTATTTTAACTCTACGTTAAATAATCGATCGAAAGACGTTAAATAATCGATAGAAGCTCAATAATAATTTTTAAATATTATTATTAATAATAATAATAAGCTGCATTCTTTATCGCTGAATTCTTTAAAATTTATAATCTACTAAATTTTTCTGCTGACAAATCCGCAGTTTTACGTAGATCAAAGCATCTTGAAACGTATGCCACATCCTTAAAGAGATTAGTCTACGTCTATTATAAATGTTTGTTTTGATTTTGTGGTCAAAGTTAAAATGAGATTCTACTTCGTTGGCGTTTTTAACTTACCGGTTTTTGTAAATTTTCTTATTTTCACTTACGTAAGTTTGATATTGTTTCACGGGCACATGCGCAATTACTTGAAATCTTATGTACAGAATCTAGCGTAAAAGTGCAAAATCTCTCTATTGTCTAATTATCTTAAAAAAGTTTTGTAAACAAAACCATTTTGAACACACCAAAAGTTTAAAAGAAAAAAGCATTTCTTACAGAGAATTGAGATACGATTTAAATTTGTATTTAATGAAAATCAAATCAGAATAGGTACCGATATTTTATCGATAACCATTTATATCGATACTGTTTTACGCTTTTGAAGAAAATTTCTCACTGGATATTTACATTAATGTTTGATAACTCTTAATATCGAAAGATTTTTTGAAGAAAAAATAATTTTTGAAAGAAAAGAGATAAAAGAAAGATATAATATCGAGATCGATTTTGCCTCTTAATATGAACATCATCTTGTGTATAAAAAAGTGTCAACCATACAAAACTATTAAGTTTTACTACACACACTTAGAAAAAAAAGATTTTAATGAAAGGTCTTTGCGAAGTATAGAGGTAGTATTCACTTTTTTTTCAAACAAACGAGCATTAAACTATTCTTCGGTATTTTTTCCTGATTGGTTCTTTACAAATATCCAAAATTTCCAGAAGATAAAAACATAATACTCTAAAATCTGCATACAGATCCTGGTATTTTTCAGTGGATACAAAAAGATGTTTCTGTGAATTGTGTTAATGTGAACTGTGAATTGTGTACCTACAAGGAAACAATAATGGAGTTTTTTGAAGAAAAAAATAGGTCATTTTGTTATAAAAACACAAACGTCACTTCCGTATGCATGCAATTTCGTCAATAAAAAATGTTTTCTTGTGCTTTTATTTGTGCAAATTACTATAAACCCTTTCTCTGAATTGAGAAAAAAAAGCATCGTCAAAGCTACTAAGAACATGGTCAAATTTACCTTGTTTCTGGCTCTATGGGAACAACAAGAAGCTCGGTAATTTTGACAGAAACGATTTAGTAATGATTTTGATAAACTTAACAATAAGATATGGTTTTATAATGTGTGTTAAAATTTAGTAATTTTATCATGATACCTGAAAGCTTGGCCTAAAAACTATTTATTTGGTTAAATTTACATTTAAGTTTTACTTTTTGTGGCGTAATATGAACCATAATCTTGAAAACCATAACTTCTGGTACACTGTTACTTTATGAACGGAAAAAATGCCAAATAAAGAATTTAAATATCTCATGTTTTGATTTTATTTCCGGCATTATAGTTGTTTTTTTAACCAGAAATGTTTTAACCAGTGGTCCGAAAAACTACATTATTTTTGTAATTTATTACAACTACTTTGTAATAAATTACAAAACAACTTTGTTACAAATGTAGTTAACTATAACTACTTTTTTTAAAATTAGTAATTACTAACAACTTTTGAATTGTAGTAACTACTTCACTACTTTAAGGAGACAAACTTTGCTGGAGAACTTAATTTACATCGATGTTCAAAATGGTTTTGAATAAGAATATGGCATACATTAAATATAAGGTAATAATTAAGAATTATTTATTTGTGTTTACATGAGCCAATTTGTAAGTCCTAAGCTTTTTTTCGATTTTTTTCATTTAACCTTCCACTTTTTATGCCTTTTTGACAGCGATTATTTTATTTAAGAAATGCGAAACTATCAAATGCATGCAATTTTTGAATTGTCTCATTCTCTTTTATTTCCTCTAAAAAATGAAGCATATCGAAAATACTTTCCCTTCTTTTTACATAACATTAATGCTTCACGAGTCTGCCTTCGCATGTTTAAGTGTAACTAAACTGATTCATTAGCTATTTTTAGTAACTGCTAGTTAATATGTTAGTTATACTTGATTTTAAATACGTCATTTCTATTAACGCTTAGCTACAGCCATAGGGCCATTTTCATTGCATCCATTGTCTCGAGAAAATTTGTACCCGTCAAATTCGAAGAATTAGATGCGTTTGAGCCGTGTTACTATTCTAAATTAATGTTAAAAGTAGTTGCCAAGAATCGCTACAAACTACTGTTTTTTTATGTATCGCACTATACTTTTAAAAAAGACACTACTCTTTAAAATATATACACTACTCTATACACACTATACACTACTCTTTTAAAAAAAAGTAGCGCACAACGACAAAGTAGCGACTACTGTAGTTTCACTACTTGTAGAGCGCTAATTCCTACCACTGATCTTAACCATACAGTACGATAAATTCAACAGAGTTCTTTTTCTCCATGTTTAAGACTCTGGTTTAGTTTATTAATATTCAAGTAGTTTGTCATATTATTTTGATTTTATTGTCGGGAATAGGAAAAAAATTTTAAGTTATTATTTATTACCCACTAACTGAGTATCTATATCTTAATGCAGGGTGAAAAAAAAGTAAACAATAAATATAAGAATACTGAACAACACACTGTGGGCCAGAAGACCATGATCTTTGGCCAAAAGTAAAAAATTAATTTTTCAACTAAAATATGTGTAGGTAGTTTTAATATATCCCAAATTAAGTATTCATATCATTCCAAATATTATAATTTGCTTTTTGGACCGACGAGAGTAGAATTTGACGAAAAATATTTTTAAAATATTGTTTTAAATGTAACTTTAAAATTTTTATTTCAAAAATATATATAGGAATTTCCCCTTACTGTTACATTTGTATCAGAGTAATTAGTGTTAAATTACAGTGCAATTTTTGAATTTGTTGGATTGGTTAATACTCTTGACAAACTTAAAGTTTATATCTTATCATTTGACATTTTACAATGTTTGAATGATTTCGAAAATTAGTTCCAAAAAGTTCCACGAGGTAATTAACTTTTTTTTGTTGTCTTCTTTGATGTTTCTTCTTTCGAAAAAATCTGCCCCATTTTGCCCGTATTGCAAAGGTGGACTAAATATACCGAAAAACAAAAATTATATTTTTTTTTCATGTTTTCGCGTTATTTTGTAATATTACTTCGGAAATATAATTTGCTTTTCCTTTTTAATATAAAGTTACGAAAATTATTATACTATTTTCATTGCTATATTTAATTATTTAAACGTACTATATTATTTTTTTATTATAGTTCGCCATATTTCAACCGCCATTTTGTTTTTTTGGGTATTTTTAGTGTATTTCAAAATTTCAACTATGAATTCAATTTACCTACACATGAAAACTCCTGAATACAAATTTTGAAACAAATTTTATCGAAATACTAATTTTGGCCACGATACCTTGGATGCTGGCCCACTGAGCAACACTAGGAAATCGTGCACAAAATTGAAAGATACACATATACCAACACAATAATTAATATCAACAAAATGTAATTATTTTTCAAAAAGCTAAAAAATTTCTTTTTTATTATTATATTTTCCTTCCCGAAGACTACATTTACCCAATGAAAAAACCCTCGACTTCGAAAGATTCTGAAATAAATATTTCGTAATTATAGTAATCTCAAAAATAAATATTTCGTAATTACAATTTTTTCTAAAATTAATACCTAAGGATTATTTATACACGTAAAATTGGATATCAAAAAATGAAAACTTTTACGTAATAATAATGCAGAGTTCGCCCTAAGCATTCGCCCCCCTCTCACCAAATGAGATAAAATTTTAAATTTTGCGAATAAAATTATGTTTTGGCGAAAGTATTGGCGAATGATCTTTGCCACTGAACAGAAAAATATATATTTAACTATATCCTCAAAATTATGTCCAAATGAATTTTTCTAAACAAATCGGTATTTTTTATTCTATTACAGTAATTTTTGGTAGATGCGGCGCATAACCAATTATAATTCTTTCCAAATAATATAAGAATTCTAGCAAAATACTATAAAATAGTTTTCAATGGGAAAAAAATTAATCATAAAATATTGTTAAGATTTGCATTTGGCGAAGACTTTCGAAAATTGACGAATACTTTTGATATTTGGCTAATTTACTGGTTAATAATTTTAAATATTTAAATCGGACCCTCGAAATGCATTTTTCGTCTGCATTCACGGGTTCGAATCCCAGTAAAGGCTGGTCGATATGAATTACGATCATATCGACCAGCACCGATACTCGCACCGATCGCAGTAATGACGTAAATATATCCTCAGTGGTAGACAGATCATGGGTTAGAGCTCCCTTGACCGTCAGGCTAACCGTGAGAAATTCCAATACAATAAAAAATTTATCCCAATACTTGATCCAAGAGTTCCCTTGTCTTCCGGGTTGGGTTCAAAATTACAAGACTACGGAGTGAAACATTAGTAGTTGTAAATCCAAAATATTGGATCAGCTGATCAACGATGGTTATTTAATTAAAAAAAATTTAAATTTTTCCTAAAAAAAACGATGGCAGGCTTTAACATCTCTGTACCGGAGGTAAAATAACTGAGCTGAAAAAAAGGCAATATGATGTACATCTTTCACTCTTCAAACCCATGTTAGCTTATGTTTATCGAAAACTGAAATAGAACTGATTTCCTAAACGTTTTCACCGGCCGTAAGTTTCTTACGTCAGTCGCAAGCAACCGTCAAATCAAGTGGTAATAACGTCACAAGTGTTGGCACACACTCTCGATGGAAGGATGTGTTCTCCTTTCGGTCTCAGCACAAAATCCCTAAAATTAGATCTTTAGAGTGAATAGAATCGGGGAATAATGCTACAACTCTCTTCATTAAGATAGGGAAAACAATGTTCTCATATCTTTGATTTTAGAACATCATTTTTGATAGGAAAACAATCCTTTTGTAGCTTTGATTTAACGTTATTTCTGCAAGAAATTTGTTTTTCTTGTATCTTTGATTTAATATTAATTTCGATAGGAAAATAATGCTTTTGCAATTTATGTTCTACTATTATTTCGATGGGAAAACAATACTTTTGCATCTTTGACTTATTATAAGATCGATAGGGAAATAATGCTTTTGTAATCTGCGGTCTAAATATTATTTCGATGAAAAAAAATAATGCTTTTGGATCTTTTATTTAGTATCGTTCCTATTGCAGCTTAAATCTAACCAGCGGAATTTTCAACGATAATGGATTTGATTGGATTAATGTATTAGTCTTCACTCTTCAAGACTGTTTGCTGATCGGAAATTAATCCAATATGGAAGATTATTCACCGCAGGAGTGTCGCGGTTATTTAATGACTTTGCAAAGCACTTTATTAGCGGAATGCCAGCAGGTAACGGAACGGAGTGAATTTTCTCGAGCCAATATTATGGACGTTGGATGTTCGTACGGAGCTACAACGGCTCAAATATCAGAGTATTGGCCCCACAACCGCGAAGTCTTGGGAATTGATTCAAATAAAAACGCTATCAATTACGCGTTCACGTTCGTGGCTGATGAGAATATGGACTTCACGTACGCGAATATCGAGGACCAAAGTACTTTTGACCTGACGTGGGCTGCGAAATTTGATTGGATTTTCTCATCACAAGCTTTGTTCTTTGTGAGGGATCATGGAGCCGCCCTCAGAAATCTCATGTGGTGCATGAGACCTGGAGGAAAATGCTTTATCGCTGTTCCGGCTGCTAAACCAGCTGATTTTCATGTCGCAGCTAGAAAAGTATTAGCAGCTGATTGCTGGAAACAAGCTTTTGAAGTAAGTGGCTCTTTAAAATTATTCAATTAAATTATTCAATTAAATTTTTAAAAAAGTGTTTGAAGTAAGCAGCTCTTTAAAATTATTCAATTAAATTTTTAAAAAAATGTGTTTGAAGTAAGTGACTCTTTAAAATGATTCAATTAAATTTTTAAGAAAAATGTTTGAAGTAAGTGACTCTTTAAAATTACTCAACTAAGTTTTAAAAAAAAGTGTTTGAAGTAAGTGTCTCCTTAAAATTATTCAATTAAATTTTTAAGAAAAATGTTTGAAGTAAGTGACTCTTAAAAAGTATTCATTTAAATTTTTAAAAAAAAGTGTTTGAAGTAAGTGACTCTTTAAAATTATTCGATTAAATTTTAAAGAAAGTGTTTGAAGCAAGTGACTCTTTAAAATTACTCAACTAAGTTTAAAAAAAAGTGTTTGAAGTAAGTGGCTCTTTAAAATTATTCAATTAAATTTTGGAAAAAAGTGTTTGAAGTAAGTGTCTCTTTAAAATTATTCAATTAAATTTTTAAGAAAAATGTTTGAAGTAAGTGACTCTTAAAAAGTATTCATTTAAATTTTAAAGAAAGTGTTTGAAGTAAGTGAGTCTTTAAAATTACTCAACTAAGTTTTAAAAAAAAGTGTTTGAAGTAAGTGGCTCTTTAAAATTATTCAATTAAATTTTTAAAAAAATGTTTGATGTAAGTGATTCTATATTAAATTTTAAATTTAGGAACACATCCTTCCTTTAAAAATATTTTCTAGTATAGTATACATGAAACGTAAAAATCATAATTTTTTTTCCTAAAATGTAAAGAAAATTCATGTTTGATAGTTATGTTACTCTTATCAATAAAATTGTTTTAAATATATAACAATTATATTGTCGTTTATGAGTTAATTAGCACAAAAATTATGTATTTTTTGTTATAAAATATTTTTTCCCCTCATATTATTTTGGGTACTTATTCATTTTGTTGGTGTAAGCACTGAAAAAAAAAATTCATCTTTTTTCTTTAATTTTTGTTTTTAATTTGAATTAATAAAGAATTTAAAAATCAAAAATAAATAAATAGATACATAAAATTGCTGAATTTACTTGCGCCATTGAAATGGAAAAGTGCTTCATTTTACTCTTCGCTTCTCATTATTAATTTTCCTAAAATTTTGACTTAAACTTTATATGATTTGAAAGAAAGATTGTAAGACTAAACTGAATACTTAATGATCTTCAAAGCATGTGCTATTCGAACAACTTTAAAACTAAGAAAAATATAAAACATAGTTTCAAGTTCAAAACTAATAAAAATAATTTTAATTTTGAGCTTGAAACTATATTTCATATTTTTCTTAAATTTAAACGTGTTGAAACCTTAATTTCCTATAATGAAGGTCAGCATTTAACGTAGCAATATCCTTTATTCAAAAAAAAAACCTTTTTGTTAAATTTATAGAATCCAAACACTTATAACAAGCACCAAAAATATGAAATAGCAAATTGTAAGTCTGCAACATTTGCTTTGAATTTATTTTCCTTTTTTTTCCATTTATACTTTTACTGTCTGCAACAGGAAATTAGTCTAAAAATGGAAATTTTAACATGTTGAAATATAATTAATGTTCGACAAACTAAAATGATACAACGACCTTGCGTCGTTAATATTTTGTCGATCAATTTGCTTAACAACGTATTCAGCTACACTACAAAAGCTTAATGCACAGCGCTAAATTTGAAAGGTGTTCCATGATTGAAAAAGTTTGAAAGCCCTTGATTTAAAATATAGCTAATTTTTCTTTCTTTCTTTTTTTTTTGGTGGGGGGGTGAAATAATAGTTACAAGACTTTTTGTAGTGGTTTGAATTCATCAAAACGATGGCTTTGTGAGAAAAAGCATCAAAAGTCTTTTTTTTTCTTTGTTATCATTATTATCATTAACTTCTTTGAAATTAAACAACAAAAAAAACGATAATGAATTGGTAAATAAAATTTAAAGATTTAATGTAGACATTCGAAATTAAAAGAATCATTTTTTTTTTAAAATTCGTTTATTCATTTTGTGTTTAAAGTATTTTAATCTTTCATTATACCATTATTTTGTATTTTCTTATAACATAATTTAAATTACGACTATATTCCACCGTTTTAGTAAAATTTATATTCATGGATAACTCAGAGGTATGTATCAGCTCAGAGTGTTCGAATGGCAAGGACACCTGCGTAGCTCAGCCGCTCACTACTTTATTTAATCATTATAGTCTATAACGTTGCTTTGATGCAGAAAGTCTACTAAATCATTAGTTTCTTATTTAATCGCTAATCGACATTTTTACGAAAGCACATTTTATTAACACTATTAAATAGATGAGTTTGCGTGATTTTTTTGTGCAATTTTAATAAACGTTCTTTTTTTCAATGATTAGGAAGATCTCGGGATTTTTATACCATTCTCGAGAGAACAATATTTTCATAAAACATAAAGCGCAAGTCGAGACGTACACTGAGAAAAAAAGTATAGTTAAAACTACCAGAATATGGTAAAATTTACCATATTTCTGGCTTTATGGGAACACTAAAATTTTTACGGGAGCGCTTTATTAATGACTTTCAGTGAAATAAGCAACAAAACATGGTTTTATAATATGTTATAAAATTTGAAAAATGTCATAAAATTTGGTATTTTTTTCATGATATCTATTATGCTGATGGCTTTTTTTCGGTTAAATTAGCTTCTCAATTTTTTTATTTTTTACTCAATGTGTGGTAATGAGAACTATAATTTTGAAAACCAGAATTTTCGGTGAACCGTTACCATATGAACGGAAAAATTTACAAATAAATGGTTTAAATATTATGTAATTTTGGGTTTTTACTTTTTACCTAAAATTATGTTTTACTAGAAATATGATTACCATGCAGTACAGTTATTTAATCAGAATTTCCTTACTCCGTGTACTACCAGTATTATGATTTATGAAATTAAAAAAAAATTGAAAGATTGTTAACATTTCGTTTACCGCATTTCTGTTCTGAAAATAAATTTGACCCACAGGGAAAGATATGTGACCTTTTTATTAAATAAACACAGAGAAAAAAACTTAGGTAAAATTACCGTTTTTGTATGGTTATGACATTTCTGGTTTAAAAAAGAAATAAATAAATTTTTAAAAAAAAATTAAAAAAATATGCGGTATTTAAAACATTTATTCTGTAATGTTTTGTTCGTATGGTTACCACATATTAGTAAGGATACAGAACTGAAAAGTAAATTTAACTTAATATATGATAATAAGTGGTTTTTATGCCGCGCGCAAAGACAATTAGATAAAATTACAGTATTTTATCACATTTGCTACCAAACAGCATGTTAATAAAACCATATTTTGTTGTAAATTTTACCAAAAGTCATTACCAAAGCTCTTCCGTAAAAATTACCTAGCTTTTTGATGTTCCCATAATGCCAGAAGAACTCTAAATTTTATCATATTCTGGTAGTTTTGACCATACTTTTGCTTTCAGTGATAATACGAAATAGCATTTAAAAAATGTAATGACGACATATTGAATACAAAAATATTTATTCGAATTAGTGTAAATATACAATTAGTTTATGTTGCAAGCAGTGGCGCACAGAGGGGGGGGGATAAATAGGGCAAGGGCCCTAGGCACCCAGCCTTCGGGGCATGCATTCGATGACTAATGGCAGTAAAACTATACCACGATTATTTTTAAGTCATTAAAATTTTAACTTTAAAATTTTAACATATAAATATAATAATAAGATTTTAGAGTGAATATTATTTACTCTTTAAGAAAAAACTTATGTAAACTTGTTGGAAATAATAAATTCTCTACCACAGAATTTTTTAACCTTACAGGTTTTTCGATTATAGATTACAAGGTTTACGAGAGATTTTTTTTTCATGATTAATAATTATATTTGTATCCAATCAATAATCCATAATTTATTTAACACTTAGATTGCTTATACAAAATTATTTACGTAAAATGCCAATGAAAAAAGTAGCAAGAAAAATTCAATAACAATATAGTAAATAAATTATGAAAAGAATATACATTTACGAAAAATTCTATTAGCATTTCTCATCGTGCTTTTCAGTTCAAAATAAAATACTGTCCGAAGACGGTTATAAAATAAAAAATATCTGTCATTCATCAAAGTTAAAAAAATTGTGAACTTTGTGCTGTATCTAAAAACAAAATAATGTTTTAAAAAAATAGTACCGCATAAACAGATGTACTATAGTTTTTGTTGGATAATTTAAAAGTTTACACCCTTACCAAAACATCGAATAGAGTTCTGTGTTTGAATCCCAAGCGAAAAAATTCCAATTTTCGCATATGAAATTATATGATGCGTTTGAATTAAATAAATAAATTTGTGTATCGAATCATATTTTCATATGAATTAAGATCGGATAATATAAAAATAGCAAGTTTCATTATGTGCCTAAAATTTAGCATTACGTACACATAAACATTTATACATGTTGAACAATATTGGTTCATGATGTCCCTGATTCAAACGTTGCAAAAGGTCGGTATCATAATTTTCTAGAGGCTATAGGCAATCGCAATTTGGGACCTTTTACTTTTTATTAGTGTTTTCTTCCTAATTCTTTTCCTTTTTGTTATTACGTATTTCCACGTTAACATTTCCAAACTTAAGAAATTAGCAATAATATCAACAAAAAAGTGTAGAAACTTTAGATTGACCTAGATTTTTTTGTTGTTCCTATTCCTCTTCAAGGCCTCAGTTATTAAAAATTAAAAAGTAAAAAAAAATCACTAAGTGTTTTGAATTCAATTTTTTCATAAAACAAATAATATTTCATAATTCATGAAATAAAAGCCATAATTAAATATATAATAGAAGATACTGAAGCTGTAAGATATTACTCGATTAAAAACTTCATTCGCGTCAAAAATATGCAAACTGGAAACAACAGTCGACACGTTTCAAGCGCTCAAAAATAGGCAGCTATTTTCAAAACTTGCCAGACTTTGATGAGAAGAAACAATAGTGATTGAAGAGAAAAAAAAGTTTACTTTTGTTTCTCCTCATTCACGTCTGACAAGTCTTGAAAAGGGGCACCTATTTTTGAGCGCTTTGCCGACTGTTATTTCCAGTTTGTATATTTTTGAAGTTAATGAAGTTTTTAATCAAGTGAAAGCCATGATTATTAATTTTGAGAAATGTCAATCAATTCATTAACAAGGTAAGAAAGATTATGCAATTAAACATTACTCATAATTATTATGATTTTATTATTATTATTATTTATTATGATTACTTATTTTTATTAGAGACACCCCTGTGTAGTAAAGTGACTGATGCACGTTAAATCTGTCGAGTCGCAAAAATCCTCCAGGTTCCCATAACAAATCAAAACCTCTGGGGTTACTGGATTGGAGATCGATCGTTCTCTGATTCAAGTCAAAATTACGATCTGAGGATGAATGAATGGATATATGAATGGGTCCGCCCTATAAACGGGTGCGACGTATGGTGTGGCAGAAGTCGAATTCTTGGCCCTAGATGGAGCCGCTGGAAAACAAGAACAATCTTACCCCCTCTGCCTAAACAGGCATATGTCAACAACATTTATTTTTATTATGATTGCAAATTCCATGTATTAACTCATAAAATATTTATTTCAGCCCATCTCTGATTTGGTATCAGATATGACAGAAAACAATTGCAATAGGCTTTGGTTCCACCACCCCCATGCAGACAGAGTCTATTCAGCTCTCTTAGAACAGGTTGGATACCAAATTCTGCACACAAAGCTCTTCGACTTCCGTTACATTTTCTCCTCTGGTGATGAATACAAAGGTGAACAATTCATTCATGAAAACAGATACAATATAGCAGCAAAGTTTCAATGCCAATATAAAATTCATAACGTATTATAATTCTAATATTGATGTAATGTAACATTTTTGTTCTCTGGCGGTGTACCGTGCGCAAAATAAAAAACCGATCGTCACGTTCTGGGACTCAATCTTAATGGTTCGAACGGGTGATCTCAAATATGGTAATTAATTATTGCAGACGATAATTTAAATTACGAAATCATGCACAAAAACGTACTTTCCCTGAATAAACATACTTTTTTCGATATATTTGGATTTCTAACCCCCAAATTATAGGGGTTAGTAGCAATCTTGGAAATAGGTTCCCAATAGTTTGGTCAAGAGAGAGATCCAAAGTTTGGATCTCTTAATGTTAATTTTATTTTGTTCATATTTTGCTATATATCGAGAACTTTTTAACTGAGTTGAAAATTTTTTGCACAAATTATGAAATTCGTTCGTCCAAAGATAATTCCATGCAAAATGCAAATGTTTGTAAATTTGTATTATTTTTCATAATTTTATTCAGTAATAATCGAAAAAAATTTTGAATTATAAGGTATACAATTTTTTCAATCATCGGTCGAATAGTTTCTGAGAAATCGAATTTTAAAAAAATAGTATGTTTAAAATTGGATTTCTCAGGAACTATTCGACAGATTTCTATCGAATTTTACATTTCGCCATTTGAAATTACGTACTGTAAAATGACGCAAAAATTTCATAACTTACAATTCGAAATTTTTTCGATTCTTACTAAATTACGTAATAAAAATTAATAAATATTTACTAAAATTGATTTTTTGCATGGAATTATATTTGTACAAACGAAGTTTATAACTGTTTTGCAAAAATTTTTCAATTCGCTTAAAAAGTTCTAGAGTTATAATGAAATACGCATGAAGACGAAGTAACATTAAGAGATCCAAACTTAGCACACCTCTCCAGACTAAACTATGGGGACCCTATTTCTCAAATTGAAACTACCCCCTATATCTTGGGGGTCAGAAATCCAAATCCGTCTAAAAAAAGACATGTTTATTCAGTGAAAGTACGTTTTTGTGTCTGATTTTGCATCTTAAAATTATCGTCTGCGCTTATTGATTAGCATATTTGAAGTCACCCTCTCAAATCATTAAGATTGAATAATAAGAACGTGAAATCCGATCATTAGATCAAAATTTATTAAGGGAGGTCAGATTATTTATTTACTTTTAATTTTTATTTATTTATTTATTTATTTATTCCGCACTGTACACAACTTTTTGATAAGAATGGAAATGAATATAAAGTTACGGTAATGAATATGAAGTTACGTAATGAATATTAAGATAATTTAAAGGTGGCGAATTCATTTATGAAATCTTTCATAATACAAGAGAACTTAATTCCAAAATAAATTCATACAGTATAATAATTCTATATTGTATTTTTTCTTCAGATAATGAATATAAGGGTAACGATTTCATTTATCAAACCTCACATAACATGGGAAAACTTATTTCCAAATTAAATTTATACTATGCAACAATTCTAATAGTAATGAAATATTATTGTATAGAACGTTTAACCTTCTGATAATCTTAAAGGTGGTGAGTTAATTTATGAAATCTTTCATAATACAAGAGAACTTAATTCCAAAATAAATTCATATAGTATAATAACTCTAATATTGTATTTTTTCTTCAGCCGATGAATATAAAGGTAACGAATTCATTTATCAAATTACACATTACATGGGAAAATTATTTCCAAAATAAATTTATAATATATAACAATTCTAAGTAATGAAATATTATTGTATATAACGTTTAACCGTCTGATAACCTTTAAAGTGCTGAAATGATTTATGAAAACCCACAATAAATAAGAAATCCTAATACCAAAAGAAATCATCTCCAATAATTACTCTAATTTCAATAAAATAGTATTGTATATTTTCACTTCTGGTGATGATTATATAGATAACAAATACATCTATGAAATTGGCCATAATATTCGAAAATTTAAATCCCAAATAAAATTCTTATCCTAAAATAATTATTAAATATTACCGTATATTATATTTTAACCTCTTGCAATAAATATAAAGGTAACGAATTCATTAATAAAATAATTAATTATATAATAAATCTTAATACTAAAAAAGGTAAAAATTCCTTATATTAATAATATTTCAAGTTTTCATGGAAATATTATAATACATTACATTTTCTCCCCTGACAATAAGAATATGAAGGATTCATAATTCATCCTTTACGCAAGAAAGCTTAATTTCAAAATAAAATCCGTATCATATATAATTTATTAATCGTATAGAAATATGAGAAAAACATTTTTTATTTAAACACTTTCATAATTTTATCAAAGATCTACAATTAAACAGTCTCTCTTAAATTTCTCAAGCAAGCTGAGCATAAACTAATTTAATTGAAATTCCATATTAATTTCTAAAATGACTCTTCGTTATTTTATTCAATTTTTAAATATTTATAACCCAATTTCATAACGAGTATAAAGTTCTGAACTAATTAGATATGAAAAAAATTTAAAACTAGAGAGCTAGCTATTTTATTCTTTTACTTCAATTTATAGTAAACTTTTTTAAGACCCCTTATACTTAAATCAAGCTTTAAACAATACTAAATTCCTACCTTAATATTTCCTATTTGTTATAAATTTATATTCTTCTAATAATATATTGTTTACTATATACATAATTGAATATTTATTTTACTTTTTTAACAAAAATATTTTAATAAAAAGATAAACCTTTTTTTGGTACAAAAATGTTGCATGTTACCAAATCAATTTATATAGAACATTATTCTGCTACAAAATAATTTATATTAAGAACTATGGTGATTTAATATAATATGTACTAGTGGCCTAAGCCCCTGTTCGCTGACACACCAGCACCCAAAAATTGCTATGTAACCTCATATGGTTCACTTTGCAAACCTAGTTCGATTCGCTCGCTACTTAGTTAAATCCATTTAAAATGTATTCTAGCATAGAATCTTAAGTATTTAAATCAATGTTCAAATCTTTAAAACTAATTCTTCTATAAAAAAAATTATATATTTCAGTCGATAATAAGTTATTTAAATAAAAAATTTAATTGAAATAAATGACTTGCTATTAAAAATTCACTACTTCGTTCAAAACAGACTTATAACTTTCAAAACTTCAAGATATCACTATTAAGCCANATTTCGCGTTACCCAGTGGGCACCTGTGAACCAAAGTCACGGAGGCGAGCAACATCGCCCACGCCACACTGCCACAAACCCGTTTATAGGGTGGGCCACACATTCACACATCATTCACACACACAACAGAGGACAGCACAAAGAGAGAGAGAAACATCCATGCCTAGAGCGGGATTCGAACCCGCAGCCTATGGCTTCGCAGTCAGGCACGCTAACCGCTCTGCCACCTGGCCGGCAATCCTCAAAACTAATTCCTCTGTAAAAAAAATTACAATTATCAGTCGATAATAAATTATTTAAATAAAAAATTTTATTGAAATAAATGACTCGCTATTAAAAATTCACTACTTTGTTCAAAACAGAGTTATAACTTTCAAAACTTCAAGATATCATTATTAAGCTATTATTATTATTATAATTATTATTGTTGTAATTATTATAATTATTCTAATTATTATTATTATAACTATTATTATTATTATAACTATTATTATTATAACTATTATTATTATTATTATTATTATTAAATCTGCATACGCATAGTTAAAACATAGAACATTATTTTGTTTGTTGATATGAACTATTTATTTTTGGCCCTTCAATTCTCCCCAAAATCACGGCTCAGATTGTTTCAGCATTTCGTTGTTCACGCAGGAAAAAAATATTTCATTAAGAAATTTGTAAGCGTACGTTTACGCTTCACCCGCTTCATATTTCATATTATTCGCAGCCTTCGTATAGTGTGTTCAGTAATCACTAATCACTTGCTTTTTTTTATTTTGTCGAAAATGAATTTCAAAAGATAGTAGACACATGGGGGAATCGCAAATTGAAATTTTAGTGAAGAGAAAACAAAAACGCTATTGAAATCTAACACTGTGAGGAAAAAAAGGAAAGGAAAACATCAAAACCTGACTGAAGAACAAAATAGCGATTATTATAAATACCTCCTAACTTCATCTCAACCTTGTTTTGATATATTTCATTCCAATTTACTCGCTAGTTCCTCACAGATTTTGATAGCACACTTGTTTCTTCCTTGCTTACACATTCATTTTCAAAATTATGTATATTTCTTGTCATCTTCAGTTTTGGACAACGAATTTAAAAACCAGATATTAAGAACTCTGACAAATTAACAGCCTCTGCTTTTAAATGAAAGTGATTCATTTTATCAGCAAAATGCTGCGAAAACTATTAAAACGAAGAATGTCGTAAAAAAAAGAATCAATACACTTTTATCAAAATTAACAAAAATTAAATATCAATTATACTTAAAATTATAGATTTTGAACGATTGATTTTTGAATTGGCTAAAAGAAAAGGGATACTACATTCTTTAATCATTTAACCTACTTTGATCTTTCTAAAAGAATGAACTTCCCTTACTTCAAATAAAATTTTCAAGATTCTTTAATTTTCCTGCTGAGTTTGAGGATAGGAAAACTTAAAATATATAACATAAATTTTTAGGAATCGCATAATGTTTGCAGTACAAAGTAATTCTCTGAAATCACAGACTTAGATTAACAATCTTCCTTTCAAGCGTGTTTTATTCTTTTCTTAGTACATACAAATTAACTTCAGTAAAATATTTATTTAGCGAAAGTTTCTATTTAACTTGAATATCCAACTACTCGAAATTTAATTAAAATTAAATTGCATTCCAAGTGTTAAATAAAGTGCATCTAATGTTGAAATTCCTTCGCTATCTTATGGAATGTTGGAAATTGTTTTAGCAGAAGTTAACATGTTTATAACGTTGAACGTAAGATATATCCGAAATTTTGCAATAGTATGTTTTCGTTTTGATGGAATGGCAAAATGAAGGTAAATTACACATCCAGTGGTCGGAAGTAGTCCTCTACAAATAGTGAAACCATTGTAGTCGCTACCTTTTTTCGTAGTTTATAGTGCAGTGTGCTATTTTTTTTAAAAGTAGTGTAATGAGTAGTGATACAGAAAACAGTAGTTTGTAGTGGTTCCTGGCAACTACTTTTAATGTTAGTTTAGAAAAGAAACACGGTTCTAACGCAACTAATTTTTAGAATTTGATGGGTGCAAATTTTCTCGTACGGAGTTTTTCATCCCTTTTAGGTCAATAGAATGAATACCTAGCGTGCTTAAGAACTAAACACTCGGAGTTCCCCTCCCGACTGACCATCCAACCGCAACATCTGCTCTTGCACCCCAGAGCCCAAGGTAAAAAAAAACTGTAATGGACACAGCAAGGCCTTGGCCCTCCATGGGGCTGTCGTGCCACTGAGGTTATTTTTTTATTAAGGAAAATATTGCAACTTGAATTGGCATCAGGAACAGAACTCCGAAGAAAGTCTGAGCACTCTAGTCAGTCGGAAAGAGATCAGAAGTGGATTGGTAATTAATTTTGACTGAAAACTGCGACATAAATTCTATTGAGATTCGACATAAATTCTATGAGAAAACAATTCAAACATATACTGCCATCTATCACAGAGCAATTTCAGCGCTGTAATTAGTCGGGAAATGGTCAAAATTTCGATTTTTCTACTTGTGGCAGTATAGAAACGAATAAAATTTGCATTGTCATCTTGCATGGAGATCCAAAAGAATGTGTTTCCCATTTGGAAAAGAATTGTAATTTCGATTGCAAGATTCTATCTTTACAGATAAGTAAGTTAATAAAAGTACAGTAAAATAAAGCAAAAAAGAAAACAAATAAATAAGATGAATTATGGGCGTATTTCATTCATTAAATTTTTTTTCGAATGAAATACTGCAGGGAGCGATAGTTTTGAGTTATGTTTTTCTGTTTTAACTTTTTCTGTAAGTGAAATTTCTCAAAACCTTTCTCCTTGCTGTGCAAGGCAAAATTTGATAAAATAGTAACTCAAATAAATTTGATAAAAATATTTAAAGTATCTTCGAACTTAATAACAGCTCATGTTTTGTGTTAAATACTATTTACATATTACGATTTTTGCTGCATATAACAGGGTGCGTAGTCAAATTTTTCAACAGAAAATAAGCACCTTTTAAGCACTTTTCAAGCACTCAAAAATATTTTTATGCTCTTTAAAAAAATATATAATTAGGCAGGGTTTTGAAGTTTTTGACAATTGACGGTTTTATCCGGATTTAACCTTCATGTCAAAGTAAAAAACTAGTTTTGCAGGCATAGTTGATTCATAAAACTAATGACGATTTCATACTCTAAGGACCGACGGTACGCCGAAATAGTTTGGGGTTGAATTAATTGTGAAAACATTAAATAGAACAACATGAACAGTGCGTTTTTGCATAATACGTGGCGAAAATAAACAGGGTAAAAGAAAAATTAAGCATTTTTTAAAAACACCCAATGAAAAAAGCACCTTTAAGGGCTTTTAAAAAACGATAACCGAAAGTAAGCACCTTTAAGCACTTTTTAAAAATACTACGCACCCTGTATAATAATAACTATATCAGTAATTAAAGTTTTATATTCCTCGTTGTTGCGACGGTCTACAAAATAACACACTCATTTACACTATTACTCATTGGTATTCTAATGAATTCACTTTTTTGTTATTATTATTTTTGACTTTCTCTATATTTTTTTCCGATGCTTTCTCTTCTGTTTATTTAGCCTGTCTACGAAGCTTGATACGAAAACCTCTTCAGTATGTGCCAACAGAAAAGTCGGAGAGTTTTCTGAAAGAATTCCAAAAAACTGCAATGAAAAAAGCTAAGAAGACTCCAGGCGGATCCGTCATTTGGAACCTTAAGTATGTTCTGGTTCTTGCCAAGAGACCCGAACAGTAAAAATAAAACTCTAAAGAAACTCTTCACACAAAAACTTTCATATATTTCATTTTCTTTATTCTTAGATATTAAATATCATTTTATGTTTCTATAATTTGTGTCTCTCAATGTTTTGCAGTTGTTGTAACCCAGCTTCACTCCTAACAATATAAAAAAAAAAAAAAACCGTTATGAAGGAAACTTACGAATTTTTCAGAACTTACAAACAATGGTCATGAAAAAAAAGTGTTCTAATATGCATCATTTTATTCAAAATTGCAACTAATTTAACACTTTTTTGAATAGTATTATTTTTAGGAATTCTATATTTGCAACTTACATAGATTCCACTAAATCCTCTTTTTATAAAAATAAAAATATATATAAAAAAAATACAATATGGCAAGAAGACATTTCTATTAATTATATTTTCCAGTGGAGTTTTTTCATAATTTGCAAACAAAAAGAATTTTTTTTTTGTGGCTTTTTAATTGCAATAGAATTATTTAGTTTTGAATTAACATGAAAAATTCATCCCAGTTAAAAATAGAATTCATTTATTTATAACAAAAGAAAATAGAATTAAATGGAGAAAAAAATGGCACGGTACAGCAAAATATTTCAAAAATTAACTTTAACAAATTTTTTAAAAAATATTTCAGTATAAAAGAGTTAAAACAAGAAGAAAAAACAGTTTTTTCAGAAAATGAATAGAATTAAGAAATCGTTTTCAATTAAAGTTGTCTTATAGGAGGAATGAGCAACATCAATATAATTTTTGAAAAAAAAATCCAAGTTGCAGAAAATTTTAAAGTGAATTTTAATGAATTTGATTGCAGGTTTATCTATCTTCACAATTGGCTACCTTCAAGCAGGAGAAATTTGTTTATACATTTTGTGGCATTTGTTTATACCACAATTCGCCTGCCAATCAGGTTCGTCGCTTGCAGGTATCCTATTAAATCTTATCCGAAAACCGATTCAGCGTGTTGATAAACTAAGCGTAAGACCTGTAAGATTGACATGCCGGACACAACCACATTATTAGGCTGATTAAAGTAACATATTCTTCTTCCTGCAATGCGGGTTCGTAAGTATAGCTATGACGTGTTAGGTTAGTTTAAATAAAATATCTCATTAGTATTCTTTACTTTGATTTAGTTTATAAAAGTTTGAACACAATTTTTTAAATTTTGTATAGTATAAGAAAATAGAAATTAACAACACCCTAAAAGAGGTAATACTGAAAAAAAATTTTTAACTCAGTTTAAATATTAGCACTTATTGCTAAAAAGAGGTAATACTGTAAAAAAAAAATTAAATTAACACAGAAAAGTGCTAATATTTTAAAAAAAGGAGAAAATAAATATATATATTTTTTTTTAAATCTTGGAGGGAAAATAAAAAGCATATTGATGCCTCACTTTCTTACAATTTTTTTTATAACCTAACTTTTGATGAAAAAACTTTCATTTACACTTTTTAATATGCTGATAAACGTAAGAGTGTATTTTTAAAAATAATTTTTTTATTATTATTTACAATTAAAACCATTCAATTTCAGCAGTTTGAACAACAAAAAAATTAGAAGTTTCCATACGTTTTGTACTAGAAATATTCTTCTTTTTTTTTCCAATGATACAAATAGTTTTTGTCAGAAATTTTTTTTTTCTGCAATTTTTTTGAAAACTTTTTTTTAAATCCTTCATTTAATATCTAGTCAATTCTATCTTAAAGAGCAATGCCTAATTTCAAAATCATGCCAACAAAATTTACATTTTTATCTAAAAGGATTCAGTAAATCAACTCTTAAATTCAAAATCTTCAAATTAATATTTTATAAAAAAAAAAAATTCAAATGTTGTTGCATGCTCTTGAACTTAGAAAAAAATTACTTTTTTATAATATTGAAAAAAAGTCAAGAAAATATACTCTTTTTTTTTTGTCACTTAAAACCTATATCATGCCCTACCTTTTTAATTGTGGTATCAATTTGTATGGTGTTCTTCCCGTTGTTTGATACAGATTTTCTGCTTGTTTTGCCACGTTTTCTATGTGAACAATGCATTGTCTGCACACACTATTTTTTTTTAATACTTTAAATTATTGTTTTTAAATGCACTGCATAGAAGTACAGAGAGGGAAAGTTAAAGTATAAATTTCCATAGTTCACATCATTGCATTAAAAAAAGAGGAGGAATGCAAAAACTTGCTTGAAAAAAAAAATTGAAAAAATTTAGAATAAAACTATCATTGACACACAGTCTAATAAAAAGAGGTTTTAGCCTAAAATGTTTAAGAAGTTAAAAAAAAATTCAAATTTTTTACTTTTATTTATTTAGCTTGGTTTTTAAGGTGCCTTTTATAATTCTAGGTCTTGAAATTTCAAATCTTCCCAAGGGAAAAACCAAAGTTACTGTTTTTTTCCACATATTTTTGAGCCTACTTTTTTAAGCTTTAAGATAGAGGGTTTCCGGAGTTTTAATTAAAAACAAAAATCTACAAAATGATACTTACACTTTGATTTTAGGATAGCGAATCAAAGAATTACTAGCATAGAAAAAAATCAAAAATAAAGGAATTCAGATACTACTAATTTTTAACTTAGAAAGTCAAATCATAATTAAATAGTCTTTTGCATCATATTTAGAAATAAATATAATTCCATTAGGTGCCGTAACTAAAATTATCTTTCCTATATCTTTTTTAATCATTAAAATTGTTATCTTGTAATGTTTAATTATATTTAAAATAAATTAAAATGAATTCAAAATAGTAATTTTTTGTTATCTTTAAATCGATAACAAAAACATTTGACCACTGTATTTATCACGATTGTTACCTTTTTAATGAATTAATGATAACATAAAAAATATTGTGGGTGGCTGTGTGGTGTATATGTTCTATAAAATTCTAAATCAGACATGAAATTATTCAACATGTGTTTTATTATAAAAATGTTGTCACACACACAATGCTATATTGGATATATTTGCTATAAAATTGAATAGAAACATCAATTGAAATTGAAAGATGAAATTTAAAAAAATGCTAAAATTTAATAACATATCAAAAAACTAAGAACTGCATTTTCCAAATATTTATTTTAAAATTCACACAATTGAAAAAATGCAACTCCAATAACAAAACAGAATGATAATAAATAAAAATTAACGGAACTACAATTCGGTTAATTTATTGTAAATAAAATCCTTCAGCACAGCAGATCGGTACAAATGAAAAGCAATATAATGATGAATCTCTTTATTTACAGCCCACAGTTCAGTAAATTAAGAAGCTTGAGCGATGAAGACGCTGCCAACAGCAACCATCATTTTGTGACATTTTTCTAGTTTTGTCTTATCGCTAAGGCGTTGCAAAATGCTGGCAGCTTCAGCCAGCATGCATTCCTTCTCTCGGGGATTGGAAACTATGTTGTCGGGAAAATGTTGGCAAGCCAGCATCAAGGCATCCGCTTGGTCACGCTCACATGGGTGATGACTTTCTCCATTCTTACCTAAGGAATAAATTTTAAAACTTAGATTTCATCAAATAAATTATTCAAACTTTAAAAAACATTATAGATTTTTTTTTTTTTTAAATTTTACATTTCAGAAAAATATGTTTNGCTCACATGGGTGATGACTTTCTCCATTCTTACCTAAGGAATAAATTTTAAAACTTAGATTTCATCAAATAAATTATTCAAACTTTAAAAAACATTATAGATTTATTTTATTTTAAATTTTACATTTCAGAAAAATATGTTTAATTTTTAATTAAAAAACGAAAATGTTTTTTTTTAACAATATCAAATATATTTACAGTGTAACAAGAATTATAGCTAAAAAAATCATTAATAATAGTTAGCAATTAATTAACTAGATTAATAGAATAATTGCCCCTAATAGAATATTGCAACATAGAACACATTTCATAGAGAAATACACATAATAGGCTGGGACAAGAAGACAAAGGTTTTTCAATTCGACTTTCGAAAGTTGCCAAAAGTTGTCTGGGGAGATAATTAATGAATGAGCAAAATACCAGCTATTTTCTTGAGAAAGTGCTGCTTAAGCAAAGTTGTATTTTTTTTTTTCAACTAAAATAACACTTCCAATTAATTAAATTTAATGCCTGTACTTCACAAAAAGAGATAATTATGCATAGTAAACAATTTTCAGCAAAAAATTTGAACAACATAAGTAATGAAATGTGAACATTTTGAGCAGACAACTTATTAGCTTGAACATTAGTCAGCCCTAGAACAGCCTTGAACCTTGAGAGAGAGAGAGTAAGGCATTTTATACATAAAATATCTCTTATCAGTAAAATAGAGGCAATAAAATGGTTTAACTGATTATTTTTTTTATAATGAAACAATGAAATGAAAGTGAAAAGCAAAAGTATAACGACAACCTCTATTGTACTACATGTATTTTAATGACAAGAGATATCAGTGTTAGATGAATTCTACCAACCACCAAAGCCAACTTCATACAAGTTGGCATATATGGCGACCAGTGAGAGAAACCAATTTAATAGGCTGAGTTGGATTATTGCCCACACTGGACAGGAGAGGATGGAGTGCAGATGTGCCTTTTGGGCATAAAGAGCGTCAAGGTAAAAAAAAAAAAATTCAATTAAGAAAAAGGTAAAGTTCTAAGTGAGTAAATGACGGTTAATAAGCAAGCATGATACCTTTGGTACAGATAATGGAGTTCACTTTATTTCTTCTTCTAAGACTTCTATCCAGCATTTGTTGAGTCTTCACAGGATTAGCACCAGAAATCAATCGCTGTGTTATCTCATAAAGATGAACCTACAAATGCACATATTTCATACATAAGTTATAAAAAAAATGAAGGAGTCTTTAAAAAAAATTACACAACATAGGTGAATTATCAAAACTATCAGAAAATTATTAGATCTAATTATTTTTATCTGGTTACAGTAATAAATTTAAGAAACAATACGAAATACAAATAAAATGAATCTAAAATAAGAACCTTAAGTTAGAGAGCATTTTTTAATATAATATTATTGAGCAAATATTTATTATTTTGCCATAATACCAGCTGGATTATTAAATTAAAAAAAGTAAGCACCAGAAATAAATCGTTGTGTTATCTCATAAAGATGAACCTACAAATGCAAATTGACATACATCATATATAAGTTATAAATATTTTTTAAAAAAAATGAGTTTCTTTTTTTGTAAAAAAAAAGAATCATACATTCGTAGGTGAATTATCAATACTATCAGAAAATTATTAGATTTAATTATTTTTACCTGCTTACAGTAATAAATTTAAGAAACAACATGAAATAAAAACAAAATGAAAATAGAATAAAAATCTAAAGTTAAAGGCCATTTTTTGGATATAATTGAGCAAATATTTATAATTTTGACATAATACCAGCTGGATTATTGTATTAAGAAAATATTGTGAGATTTAATAAACTAAAAAATGAGTGAAGAAAAATATCGAAAGGACATACTTAGTTTAGCTAGGAATATTTTTAAATATCTAAATTAACTGAAAAGCAAAACAAGAATTTAAAATATTAAATATAAAGCAGAAACTGTCTGTCATATAATATTAAATGCCTGATGACAGAATGCTCACTACTTTCACAGTTTATAACTTAATATGATCTGATTATAAGGCATTTAGGAAGCTATAATTAATCTTTACATATTTGTTCCAGACCTGTTCTCATCCTTCAGAAGTATCTTAAAAATTTTTTTATTTAGAGCTATAATTGTCAAATAGTGAAGGTATTGTTTGAAAGTCAAATTAACAAATTATTTTAACCAACATTTGAAATATGTAATGAAAAAATATTTTAACAAAAGGAAAATTATCAGTCTCCCCAAATTATCAGCCTCACCAAACACAGGAAATAAATACAAATTGACACAAAATTAGAATTTCTTAAACACCATGGCAGAATAGTTATATACATTAAATAAATTAAAATTCCAAAATAAATTAATAATATGAACAGTAAGAATTCATGAATTAATTGATATAATAGCATTATTAAGTAAGATATTTTAATAGATTGGTAACTAAATTAATCCCTTGCAGCACACCTTCCTAGAAATTAACTCAAAAGAAATCAATATAAAAGTTATATAAAATCCTTAACTTAAACCTTACAACCAGCATTGAAATTGTTTAAATATTATACTTTAATCAAAATAATTAATGATTGTTACATTTTGTTAAGCTTATAGATAATGAGATTTTAATATTTTACTCTACAAATATGATATTCACAAACCTTAACACCTGTCTTTGACATGCATTAACTTAATTTATACGTAAAATAACATTATACAGTTTAGTAAGTTCATTTAGAAAATAAAATGACTCATACATTATTTTTATGAAAATTACAAAAAAAAAAAATATAGGTATTGCATACCTGCCAGTTTCTAATCCTTTCGAGGATGATTTTCCCCAGTGATAGTAAAATGGAATTTAAATTACAATTTTTGGCAGAAAGATACACTGTATTTTGAAAAAGATAATGCGGACTACCACGTCAGTATTGCATATTGTTATATATGCTTAATTTTTTTGAAAAACAGTGGTGGTCAAAAAGATTATAAATTAAGTTTATAAATGCATGGAATATTTAGAAAGTATACATTCTACTACCACTTTAAATACACAAATAAAATTTTACGCCAAATGCATAAAAGTTGGCAGGTATGGTATCGTACTGTGTATAATATTTTTAATAAATATAAAATTTCAATTGTGTGAAATAAAAATTTACCTTGCTGTGAATTTCTGGAATATAATGCAAGAGTCGACGCAGGCACCGGAGGTCTTCTCTATAACCCTCAGACACTCCACAAACATCAGAAGAATTATTAGATCTTGACGACTCCCAAACATGATTTCTAGTACTCAGGCACCAATCGATACTCAGAACTTGGAAAGCCTGCATAAATTAGGTAACCTTTATTAGACAATAAATAAGTTTTATTTCAAAGATAGCAAGTTTCTTCCACAGTGAAACACTCTTCAGTCCTGAGGAAAAATCAGTGGACTGAATTCCATCCTCCAATTAATATTTTATTTCCAATTTTTTTTTCAAATTAAGTTTTCAAAAAATAAATAAAATTTACATTTTTTTTAATAATCTGTAAAGATTAAAAAAAATTAATACTTTTTTGTTGTTATTTTTTATAATTATTACCAATGATCAAATAATAATGTCACACCACAATTAAAGAATAGGATTGACTAACTTCAACATGTGATTGCTTTTACAAAATTTAAATCTAAATCTGCTTGAGTTTGTAATTTCTCCTGACATTTTGAAAGGCTAAAAAAATTTTTTTAAAAAAACTCAATTATGATTATTTTCCTTAAAAAATTAAACTTATAGCTCAAGGGGAAAACTTTACTTTGGAGAAGTGTAAAGATACAAAGTAATTTAATAAGTAAAGATATAAATGGCTCAAACAAAAAGTTGGTGTTTCAAATACATACATGTATATTTTTACAACAGCTAACCCCATGTATGGGGTTAGCTGTTTCTTTTGTTTTGTCTGCTATAAAAAATAAACTAATAAAATTAAAAAAAATTTGCTTTATTAGAAAAAATAATCTAAATCATTAATATATTATGCGGGACAGAACATAATATATTTTTTCGGATTTACAGCTCACCTAAAGTGATAACGCTAATGCAAGATCGTGCAAATTGATCAAAAAATAAGTTCAGTCTGGAATTTTCTTTAGAGTACTTTTTTTTGACATGGAAAAACCATGAAAAAAAGTGCCTAAGAAAAAAAGCTTTTAAGTAAGTAGTACCAAAGTAGAAAAAAGGAAAAAAATAATTAATAAAGAATTATCAAGTACTAAAATTTTAAACAGTTTATAATTGCAATCTAGTTTAAATAATATTATTTCCTAGTACTTCAATAAATATTTTTTAAATAAAAGAAAATAGAAAAGCGAAAATTGGGAAGAAATTTTTTTTTTTTATGAATCTCTTAAGAAATTAAAACATGTGTGGTTTCTTTCAAAGTTTTACATAAAGGAGTATTGAAGAACTTTATAATTATATAGAGAGCTTTTAAAGTATCAAAGTCAAGTTACATATTATTGCACTATACAACAAATTACAAATTGTAACAGCACACTAATTTTCATAACTAAATACTGTTAAGAATAAATACAAATAAAACTTACATAATACAATACAGAAATACAAATTGTATTTTTACATACCTAATCATAAAATTATGAATTATTATAATTGATAAAATAAACTTATTGCTTTTAATAATAAATTTTTATTTACAAATTATTGTTATGATATAATAGTCGAAATTTCCTTTTCATATCATTTCATTCAACAAATTTTACTTTTCCAATCATCCTTCAAAAACTTGCAAGTTTTCAAATATTTTTGAAAAATAAAATTTGCAAATAAAAAATATTATATAACAGCAGGATTTTTTTTACTTTGTCACATTTTGATTACTTTAAAAAATTTGGTTGGGATTTACTAACATTTATAAATTAATATAAAAACTAGTTTCTATTTTATTGTTAAATAAATTAAAAATTAAAATTAATTATGAAACAAATATTAAATAAATCAATTATTGAATAAATCAATTATTTTTTAAAAAAAAGAAAAATAAAGGCAAAATTAGTATAAAAAATTACACAAGCATCAAAAAAATGTGCAATAAAAATTTAACTGCCTTAAAAAAATTTTAAATTTTTGAATTAATATTCTACGAAGAAATATATATTTTTTTATCTTTGAAGTTCGGTGACTTAGTGCTAGCCCTTTCCACCCCCATGCCCCAGGTCAGAGGTTCTATCCTTAATCTGAGCACAGTTAACTTCACTTCAGTGGATTAATAAAATCAGCACTAAAAACTTGAGGACTAAACACTGACGGTTCCACGTTCGACTGACCACTTGACTGTAGGAACATATGCTCTATATTAGTTTTTGTTGCAATATCCGAAAATAAAGCAGTGTTCTTCAGAGTAAATGAGACACTTGAATAGAATTTCAAAACCTTCTTCACCCTTTTTAAAACTTACATTTGTAATTTTTATCAAGTGCTAATTCTTTACACTCTTGAGTAATTTGAATCAAGATAAAATCTTATTTTATTGATAGATAATTTAAACTGTTTATCAAAAAAGTACATTAAGCTATCACTATGAAAGAACCAAATAAATAAAAGCACAATTTTCATTATTTTTTTCTGTTCTATCTCCCAATTTTAAGCTGCTAATAGAATCAGTAGCTTTTCATCAAAAAGACTGGAGAAACAACTGTTTTTCATGATTTCTCACAAATTCTCAAAAATATTACTTTATTTTCACAAGTTCAAAAAAATTTGAGTAGATTTTTTACAATTTTACAAAAACATCAATTTTTTAAAACGTCTGTAGCAAGTTTTACAATATCATGTACAACTGATATGGACAACAAATAATTATGAAAATGCAGACCAATATTGTTATGGATCATATAAGTGCACACTTACTGACATATGCCAATGAGTAACGAAAACGTGAAATTACCTGTACTAAAGGTGGAGGCATTTGATGCAATGAATAATTTAAACTATCTTTCACAAGACTTCCCGCTTTGTCGCATAGTCGTAACGTAGTACTAGGCATTGAATCATGACTAGTAGAACTCTTTTTAGCCCGAAAAGAATACAAAACAGCAGAGGGAAGAGGATGTCTAAGAAACAAGAATTATAATCTGTAAGCTTCAGCAACATTTTATCTTCAAACGCACTTGAAATGACATAAAACTTCAAATAAATTCACTACAACATACAACAAAATTAAATACATAATTATTATTCGTCTAGTTCTTTTAAACGTTGCGCTTTTTTTCTTCTTCAAAAATCAATGCAAAAGTCTATTTTTTAATGCGTCCAAACACACTAGATGCAAAATAAATGTAGAATTGGAATATATCAGCAAATAATTCCAAAGGTAGGAAATAATAAAAAAAACTGAAGGAAAAAACATGCATGTTTTCTCTATTTTAATTAAATGAAAAAGAAAAGCAATTTAAATTATCTTAAAGTCAAAATTCCTTAGCTACCACTTTTTAGTCCATAATGCTCAAGCCAGATACTTGATATACAAGCTGTGCCTGTGTAGATTAATGTCCATGAACTTCATACTTTCAATAGGATTTAAGTTTAAAATTTAGTAACAAAAAAATTGCAACGCTATTCCGTCAGTTTCTGAGTGAATCAACATCAAAGTTCAAGAAAACCAATATTACAAAAAATATTATGAGTCTTTAACGTTTTTCTTGCTTCGTATTTTTTTTTTAATTTCTTTTAAATTAAATAAGTTTTTTTCTTGGAAAAATAAATCTGCAAAAAAAAAAACTGTTAGGGTAAAATTCTTGAATAAATAAACACATTTAAAAAAAAAACAATTAAAAGTTTTTTAATTATTTTTTTTAATTTTGAAATGAAAAAAAATTTAAAGAAATGGATAAAATTAGATTTTGTGTTACTAAAATTTGTGCTTAAAAGTACAAGGAAACTAAGAGTTTTGCACTTAATATACTGAAATCTATACATTTAAATAAACATACTGAGAATTCAGAAGTTCTTTTGGAAAATTTTCAACATCTTGGTACAATTTTTCAGCCTTTTCCTTCTCACCCAGAAGCCAGGAGAGAGAAACACTCAAAACGGATGCCCACCAAAAGGTTACACGATCTTCTTGTCTCAAACAGACAGGTTTGGAACTCTTCAGAGCTGAAGAGAAATTACTACTCTCAGTAACATAACAAGAATTCTTCAACAGTTGTATGCAGTTTGAAATAACCAATCCAGTAGAATGATTCCTATAGAAATCAATATAAAGACATTACACTTGTATGCTGTGACTGCCACCAATAATATCACTGAATTAAAAAGGTAGCCATTTTTTTAAAAAATGAAATCTGCAAGAATAGAATTATTACAAAACCAATACATGCTAAAACCGTCAATTATGAAATCATGATTGTCGTTTTATAAAATCATATTTTTGTACGCATATATTTAAAATAATTAAAAACTCTGCTTTCTCTTTCTATTTTCTCACGTTTTGAAAGCATATCTATAGCAAATTTCATTGTGCCCCAATGAATTAAGTTAGAGGTGTGGATTATAATTTGCAGGGAAATTGAAGGATGATAATTAAAAAATAAATTATGGAACAGGGAATGTAGAGGAATTCAAATTAAAACTGTTAAAGAATTAAGAAAAGTCATCAGTCAATATCAATGACCATCACTCATTCCATAAGGTAAATTTATCTTAATAGATGTCAGAAAAGCGCTTGTAATAATGCTCATAAAGCATTTACTCCATTTACAACCTTTCCGCCATTACTTAATTTTTATTTTTATTTCACTCGAGGCCTAGCACCTAGTTTAAAAAACAAACTAGGCCATGACCATGACTTTTGCTGGCTTCGATTCCCAGATCGACACAACATTCTAAAGTGTTCTGTGTATTTTTTTATCCTCTCTCTCCACATATATATTCTAAGTCGATGGAGATAAACTATTTTTCAAAACAATTATTTGCACATCCCCTCTCACATTCATGCAGTGATTCTTTTTATTTACCTATAATCATTAAATTTTAGTACTTGGTTAGAACACCTGGAGGGGGTCGTGGTTAATTCTCATCTCATTTACTGATTCCCAATCTAAATCATGTTTATGGAGGCAGCAACAACTTAGCACTTAATATTTTGAAATAAACTTTGCAGCAAAGAAAAAGAAATACAATGAAAGTTACAAAACATTTATAACTTTTAAACCATGCAGAATTGTTAATTTTAAANTTTAAACCCATTAACCGATTTAAATATAATTGATATTTTTGAAATCAGCACGAAAAACTCTGTAAGTGTACAAATTTTCATCAAAATCTGAGACGGTGGGTGCCATGGCTGGATGAACCGACATGGAATGACCCTTATAACTTTTAAACCATGCAGAATAGTTAATTTTAAATTTTGTTAATAAAAAAAAGGATATGTTAATTTAAAACCGTTCTGCAAATTTAAAAAAATTTAGTTTATGTTTAATTAATATAAATGAAGTAATCAATTCAGCTTTTTGTGTATTTGCAAAGTTTAACTTTATCATAAAAAAGGCTTTTTGAAAAATTTTAGACATTCCAGTAATAATATAAAATATTCTAAAAATGAGCATGATTTTAATATGGCAGCGGGCCATACTAACAATAATTGTTTGATACATAAATTTACACTGCAAAATATTGATTGTTTGCTAGAAGAATTTATAAAAATTCAGTGGATAGCAAATGATAATATGTTATGTAACAAACTAATAAAATAATTATTTGTTATATGATAAAATTTTTAATTAAAACTACATAACCTTGCATAATTTCGAAGATTGCTAAAATCAGCCTCTTATAAACAATGGTCCGATAATATTCTGTACTATAATCTATCTGTTAATATTCTACAAATACAACTATCTTTAAAACAAGCTTAGGTTCAAGTATAACCAATAATAAACACTTATAATAAATACTGCCAAAGTATTAAATGTATAAATATGTATCAGATTATTAGTAATCAGCAATTTTAGCTTTTATCAAACTTAAGTTATGACATTAAAAAAAAATTTAGGAAATAAAATTCGGTTAACACCTTTATTTCATAACATTTTTAAATTTTATTTATTACAAATGTTATTATTTTCCTTAGAGAATGTTAATATCGCTTAGATACAACATTTAAATTAAAATGAAAAAAAATTCAATTAATCAAAATAAGGGCAACAATTCATAAATTTAAAACAGAAATTCAAGTTTTTAGATTTTTTTTTCTAATTCTAGATCCACTTTTAGAACTGTAAATGGACAAACCTTCCATGTTCAATATTTTCATCTAATTCCATACTTGGGGAAATAATTGACAAAATTATTTTCTCCAAGAGAAACTCTCGAAAACCACGGGATGCAAATGACAGGGGATTCACTGAAAATAGAAACATAAAAATAAATTAATAAAGATTTCATTTTATAACAAAATTTGTTACAAATAATTAAAGAAAGTGCTTAATCAATGAATGTACTGCTATTGCGGTCTTAAAATAATATGAACAAACAGGAAGATAATGTCACATCAGAAGCCTTTATTAAATGAATGAACTTCAATTAAACTGTAGTTTATAAATTATCTAATTAAATTTAAAATAATGTTACTTTTAAATCCTTCAACTGAATGTAAGAAAAATGTTTATCAAATTATTTATTAATTAATCTTGTTGTTCATTCATAACAATTATTATTACTTCAAATTCAAATTTTCAATTTCACAATATCATTTATAGACTAACCAAATAACCTTCACTTTATACTGAATATAACAAGAATAAGAAAGAAAACAAGCTCGATAAAATTTATTAAATTTCACAGGGTGCATAGCCAAATCTTTCAACAAAAAATAAGCACCTTTTAAGTACTTTTTAAACACTCAAAAAATATTTTTAAGCACTATATGCATTAATAAATACAAAATAATTTTCAAAGACTTTACATGATTATGATGAAATAACTAGTTTCTGACAAAGAACTCTTCTTGACTATATTAGACATTATCAAATGATAAAGAGATTTTTTTGGTTTGATATCAGAGGGTGGAAAATGAAGTCTGAAATTAAGAATATCTTGCAAAATGCAGCAGGATGCACATGGGAAGACAATAATCTCACCAAGTCCAGCTCCGTATATATGCACATATGGACTAGCAAGTATTTCATCAAACATGTAAAATTATTGAAACCTTTAATACGCCATAGCCGACGGTATGCAGAAATAGATTGTGGTTGAATGAATTGTGAACTTTTAATAATGTGAAAACATTGAATAGAACAATGTGAAAAGCACGCTTTTGCATAATACCTCACAAAAATTGACGTGGTATAGAAAAAAATTTCATTTTCGAAAAGGGAAAATTAAGCACTTTTAAAAAACCCAATGAAAAAAGCACCTTTAAGGGCTTTTTAATAAAGAAAATCGAAAATAAGCACTTTTTAAAAATGCTACACATCCATGTTTTAGTTATAGTAAACAGTTTCTAACTCTTTTTCAACTCCTTCCTTCTCGCTCCCGTGAAAATCACAGGGTGAGTTTTCATCCGCTATTTCTTGCTCCTGTAATATTGACGGGCTGAAGTGCTCAGTAATAATACGCCAAAAAGAATAAAACTAATTCATTTTTTTTGCCTGGAAAGTATTTTATTTCTAATTTTACACACCTGATGGCAGTACCAGAATATTTTTAAGGTAATTGTAGATAGTTAGTTTATTTTAAACTAGTTGCAGCACTAATCAAATACGTAATACAAATACAAAAAAATAGGCACTTTTATGACCGTTTTCTTGAAAATTAACCGATTTTTAAGGGGTTAATAAAATTATAATTGATCTAATCCTTTTTTATGTAGAGAGAAAAATAAACATAAAATGAATGTAACATAAATTAGTAATAAAATATATACTAGATACTTTATTTAATATTCTATGTAAGCACTTTTTAATAATGCTAATTTCGAAGTTCAGTTTAAATAATATAATCACTGTATAATATACACGAATTCATGCAGAAAATTTGTCCCCATCACAGAAATTTTTTTACGATTACTAAGAAAAAAAAATTTTTCTTTAACCTTTTTTCCTACCAATGCAAACACGGTTTAAAATTACAAGATTTAAAATCACACACCGTGATTCCTATTAACGCTATTTAAGGTTGCTCATCCTGTTTCGCATTTTCAAGATTTTATACCAAATATCATGTTTCATATTCACCCGATTTAGAAGCCACTGATATGAATAGTATTCAAATGACTTAGAAATTATACAACGCAATTCTTACTCACGCTGTTTAAAAATGAAATATCGAGATTCGTACTAATGCAATTTTAAAATCCAACATCAATACTTGTATTCTCGTTGTTAAAAATAATAGATTGAGAATCATATTCTCACAATTTAAATAAATAAATGAAATCTCACATCGATATTTTTATTAAAACGTTTATAACATTCTGTGGATAAATGCTTCCTTTATTCATTTATTTCTAGCTCAAATTTCAGGTATTTTTTTGAATTATTTAAAAAGTGTTTTTGCACACAACATTTTTATTTTCAGTTCTTTTGGTTTTTTACTGAACTCATCTCCATGGCATAAATAAATATAGAATTCTACAATAATTAAATATCGGTAGAAAAAAACTCCTTGATCTTCAACCAAATTTTGCCAAAATGAGATGGCGACAAAAGAGTTGAAGCTAGTTACAAATGTTAATCAATGGTGCAAAATGTTTTTTAATAGAGATTTTGCATTCACAGAAAGTTTTTCCTTTTATCTAAGTTGGCTTAGAGGTGCATTCAATTAAATAATAGAGAGTAATTAGAAATTACACTCAATTGATTAGATCAGACAAGTGAAAGTTAAGAAAAATTCCGAAAAAGGTAACAATTAAGTTCTAAACCTAAAAAGTTACAAAAGAAATTTTTAAAAAAATGGCTAAAACTTTGGGCTTTTTCCCGAATGAAACTTCAAACTTAAACCATAAGGTAATTTAATTTTCTGATAACATTTTCATAAATTGTAAGAAATATTTATAATATACTTTTTACACCAGTTTCAAAATAGTACTCTGAAAAATTTTGACCAAAATGTTCCTTCAAAATTATATTTTTCCTTTTTATTTATTTATTTAGGTATTTATTTATTTGTTTCAATTAAGGGTTAATATAAACAGCTAATATGAATACAGATTTTTCATAAAGACATTAAATGACATAAGACAGCATTCAAAAAGTTATGAAAAAAACTTTTTACTTTATAATATTTGTAACAAAAATCATCTGAGCTTAATTTAAACATTTATTTTTGAATGACTCTAAAAAAATTAATTTTTAAGTGACATAAATTTTTATTAATTTATCAATTTCTTTTTTTATAAACTGTTAANAGAAAGAAAACAAGCTCACTAAAATTTATTAAATTTTACAGGGTGCGTAGCCAAATCTTTCAACAAAAAATAAGCACCTTTTAAGTACTTTTTAAACACTCAAAAAATATTTTTAAGCACTATATGCATTAATAAATACAAAATAATTTTTGAAGACATTAAAAAATGATCATGATGAAATAACTAGTTTCTGACAAAGAACTCTTCTTGACTATATTATACATTATAAAATAATAAAGAGATTTTTTTGGTTCGCTATCAGAGGGTGGAAAATGAAGTCTGAAATTGAGAATATCTTGCAAAATGCAGCAGGTTGCACATGGGAGTGCAATAATCTCACCAAGCCCAGCTCAGTATATATGCACATATGGACTAGCAAGTATTTCATCAAACATGTAAAATTATTGAAACCTTTAATACGCCATAGCCGACGGTATGCAGAAATAGATTGTGGTTGAATGAATTGTGAACTTTTAATAATGTGAAAACATTGAATAGAACAATGTGAAAAGCACGCTTTTGCATAATACCTCACAAAAATGTATGTGGTATAGAAAAAAATCTCATTTTCGAAAAGGGAAAACTAAGCACTTTTAAAAAACCCAATGAAAAAAGCACCTTTAAGCACTTTTTAAAAATGCTACACATCCATGTTTTAGTTATAGTTTACAGTTTCTAACTCTTTTTTAACCCCTTCATTCTCGCTCCCGTGAAAATCACAGGGTGAGTTTTCGCCCGCTATTTCTCGCTCCCGTGATATTGACGGGCTGAAGTGCTCAGTAACAGCGCGCCAATAAGAAAAAAAATAATTCATTTCTTTTGCCCGGTAATATGAATACAGATTTTTCATAAAGACATTAAATGACATAAGACAGCATCCAAAAGTTATGAAAAAAACTTTTTACTTTATAATATTTGTAACAAAAATCATCTGAGCTTAATTTAAACATTTATTTTTGAATGACTCTAAAAAAATAAATTTTTAAGTGACATAAATTTTTATTAATTCCTCAATTTCTTTTTTTATAAACTGTTAAAGTGACATATTGCCTTTTAATAAATTAAATCTCAAAATCAATGTAAAACTTTCTGAGTGCAATCACAATTTTCCCTCAACAAAAAAAAATCCTAACAAGAAAAGAAATCAAGAAGAAGTCATATTTACTTGATTTTGGAACTGAACTAAAAATAGTTCCTTCCCGATCATAAGTCCAGTTTCCATTACGAAAGAAAGTATGCCCTATGGGGTCAAAAAGCCACTGCAAAGTTGGAGGAACCATAACATTATTAGAAAGGTAAACTCTTCTAGCTTTTTTCAATAGGTACCACTAAAAATAAAGAAAACATTCCAATTTAAAATCACGTACAAAACAATATAATTGACTTTAAGACTGAAGAAATTCAATTCCTCATTACAAAAAAAATTAACAGGAATTTTTTAATAAAAATACATAAACATTTAGCACAACTTACAGTGATAAAATATAATTTTCTTGGGAAACAACTAATAAAGCTCATGGCTGAACTAATGTATATTTCAGACATTTTTTCAATTGGTATGATAGACTTAGCATCTTCTCCTAAATTCAGAGCATTCAGTGACAAATATATTCTCTCAAGTTTACTATCTGATAGAAAACCTGAGGAAAAAAATCATAAAACATTAATAAAAGAACAAATATTTTAGAGCAATAATAGTTTTTAAATGATTATTAATATACAGTGATTTATTATTAATGAAAAGTCACAAGGAAAAATAGCAGCACTAGCCAAGGGTAGTTTGAATGTTTATTTTAATTTTAAAAAATCGTAAACTACTAACTAAGGGTCCTTTGAAGAAGAAAATAATAATCTTTACCATTTTCGAAAAAGGAAACAGAAAAATAAATCATTTGCATATCATATGCGGTTCGAGAGAGCCGTTTTGAAATGTAATAGGAACTTTGGTAATGGGTACAAAATAAACAACATGAAGGTACAGTGACAATAGGTTTTTACAATCCTTGAAATAGAATGGTGCCAAAATTTTAAATACAGTGAATTCGCGATAACTCGAATCTGATAGGACTGACGAAAAACTTCGACATATCGGAAGTTCGACTTACCGTTAGTTTCGGTTTTGGACTTTTAAAGGATTGTCGGATTATTTAATTAATGCTTATTAATTACAAATCTTCTAATTGCTTACAATATTTAAGATCATTTTTCTGACAAGTCATTTACGATAAGACTGTTTGAAGCACTTCATGATACCCTGGTCCATCGGCTGCAACTTTGCTGTTGTGTTTGGCGGGAGAAACTGCAAGTTTACTGCTTTCAAATTAGGTNAGCAAAGCAGGGGTTAAAGTTTGAGCAGCAGTTTCCACTGTCATTCAGGATTATTACAATCATATCACTATAACTGTCAACAATTTCACCTATGATTGCCTCAAGTTAAAAAAAAAAATTGCCTTGCCTCCAAAGATTGTTTAACCCACTGACGGTTCTGCACGTAAAAAGTCGCATTTTAACCTGCAGTCTTCTCTGCATAGCAAAACTGGTTTTCCCATGTTAACTGATAGGGGAACTGTGTGTAGGGGAGAAACATTCTCCCAATTTTGCCCATTTCCTTAACCGCCAGTGGGTTAAAGCACCTGCAGGCAGTTGCTCATTCTGTCCAATAACTGGGAATGATTACTTGCAGGCATACCTCCAGGTAAGTTGGTTTGGCTTTAAATCGGATCTGCCCTTTGTTCTTTTCTCACTTACTGGTTGTAACGCTTCATAATTTGTACAAGTATTAAACTTAAGTGTTGAATTAATGAAGCAAAATTAAAATTCAAGCGAACTACTAAAGTAACACTATGTCATGTAGAAGAGCTAAATTAGAACCAAAGAATCAATTAATTAAAGCTTTTCTATAAAAATGTTAATGACAACCGTGTGGAGCGCACCTGCTAGCGAAAAAAAAAAAAAGGAAAAATAAAAAAATTTAAAAAAAAAACAATTCTTGCATTTACAATTATAATCAATAATAATCATAAAACTAAACATTACAAACCTGAAAAGAAAATACATATTATCACAATAAGCATGGACAGACTGGAAATAAATTATACATCATAATTCCGAGATAAAGGTTATCGTTAACATTTATGAGCAAGTGTTTATTTTTAAGCACAGTTATATCAATATTTTTCACTTCTTTTCTATTGGCAAAAGGGATTATTGGAACGCCATTCACAATTCTTCTATCACATTTTTTAACATAAATATTTATATATTAGATAAACCTACTATTTAAATTTGCTACCATCCATAAAATTAAAATTCTCTAATGGATGTAAAGAGAAAACAATTAAGATTATTAAATTCAGATAAAAATTGGTAGACAAAAGAAATGAATTCAAGTTGCATTTAAGAAAAATAAAACCATTAAATCTAAATTCAAAAAAAAAAAATTATTGTTAACAATGCTATTTGTATCATCTGTACAAGATATCATTAAAGAAAATGCTTGAATCAAATACTGTTTTATTTAGTAGTGAATGCAATTTCAACTGTTTAAGATTACTTTCAGATTACATTAAGCAATACTGTATTACAGCATGCAAGCTCCTTAATATTAACAAGGTCGGCACTCATGTCTGTAAAAAAAAATTCCCTGTGTTTTATCCTTCACAATATATTAAGAGGAAACACACATTCACTGCGCTCTTGTGAGCTATAGTAGGATAAAAATGCTAGTTTTAGTTGCTGAAAAAATAAGGAACAGCTCAACATAAAACAAATAATACTATAATTAATGAAATAATATAATATCTCTGAACTATCTCATAAATTGAGCTTTGAGAGGTTGGCATTTCTTAAAAGACAAAAATAAGAAATGAAATTCCCTGTTTTTGTCCCAGTTTATAAGGAAAAATTCAAAATTCCCTGCATTTTTCCTGTGATTTTAGATGATTTTCAAATTCCCTATATTTTTCAGGTTTTCCCTATTCTCCCTGTCGAGTGGCAACTTTGTATTAATAAATTATAAATTTTCTTTTTTGCTTGCATGGCAGCACTAGCATTAAATACTATTTTTTTCTCTTTTTCAATGCTTGTTCATATAGTTAAAAGCTAAAGAATTAATCATACTTCTTCTGTTTTGCACTCCTTAATATACTGTTTTAACACATTTAATGGGGCCAGGACAACCTGGTTGACAGGAGGCTGGACTCGTTCTCGTAAGAACAGGAGCTCCAATCCAGCCGGCTGAAGACTCCCCGTGCAGTAAATGGTGACCGGTGCACATTAAATTTGTTGGGCCACAAATTCCTTCATGTTCCCATAACAAATTGCCCCTCTGGGGGTACTGAATTGGACATTGATAGTTCTCTGGTTCAGGTCAAAATTATGATATGTGGATGAATGAATGGATGTATAAACAGGTGTGAAGTATGGATGTGGCAGAAGTCAAATTTTTGGCCAGAGATGGCGCCACTGGAGAACAAGAGCAATCACACCCCTTACCATAAAGGTCAATGACAACAGCCACAACTCACTTAATGTAATAATTCAATGAAGTGAAAAAAGTAAAAGTAATAGAATAATAAACAAGAACAAATTTTTAAAGGATGACCATGGAAAAATTATAGTTAAATTTTTATTCAATAGTATTTAAAAATTAAATTTTTCAATACTTTTAGAAACATTACATAAATATAGATAAATATTACAAAGAATAATTTTAAAGGAAACAATTTACCCAGAACATGAAGTTGCTGCAGATTTTGATACACAAGAGCTGAATCTCTTAAATATTCCTTCAAAGGACCTTTCTTAACAAAATATCTATTAACCAGTCTCTGAATGCCAGTAAAATGACATAACTGTCTAATGCATTGCCAAGAAACACCTACTGTTAATTCAACAGCCCCACAAGGAAAAGGTCTACCAAGAGCAGTAAGACAATGCTTCAGGTGGGTTACTGCATTTCCATAGTCTTCCTGAAAATCACATTTAATAAATACAACAAAAATAACAAATTTCAGTTTTAAAAAGAAATAAAATATTTCCACACACCGCATTGAAGCTAATATGATGATTTTGATGTTACCTTAATAAATCTAACCTTATTCGTAAAAAAATAGTGTCTCTTTTTTTTNTTTTAATTTTTTTTTTTTTTTTTTTTTTTTTTTTTTTTTGGATACTACGGAATGCTATTCAAAAATTACTATTTAGAAATTTATTTATTTAATTCCTAAATGAAAACATTTTATACTTATCGAAATTAACTTAAATATTATTACTTAACTAAAACACACAAAGATAAAAAATATTACTTAATAGCAATAAAATATAAATTTATAATTTTAAAGATATAGTGCTAAAACATAATACAACTTCAAACTAATTTAACTGAATGAGTTATCTGAACTTAGGCTAGTTTATTTAGAATTTTTTCTTTCATACAGAACTTTCTCTTTAAATAAGAAGGATGAAAATTAGTTTTTCACTAGGAAAATAATAAGTAAAAAGACATTTTTGGGCACTGTAAATGCTTGGTATGCAAAGAAAAAAAATCATCTTAATTGTAAATAGAATTGCAATAGTTTAAATGTATAGATTTGAGTACATTAAGTTCAAAATTCTTAGTTTCCTTGTATTTCTTAGCAAAAAAAAAAAAAAAAAAAAAAAAAAAAAAAAAAAAGAAAGAAAGAAAGACGAAAAAAATTTGTAGAAGATTTCGAGAAATTTTAAAATTTTACGTTAAATCAAATAGGAAACATAAATGTTTATTACATACTAGTCGCCTACAGCAACTTGCTGGTCCCCCTTTTTAAACAGAATTTTGACACTCAAAATTGTTCAATCAAAAATCAAAATAATATTTAAGTATAAACTCATATCGCTCAAGTGAAAGTGGATTTGATGTTCATGTTTACTTGTGCTCTTGTTTGCATGCGTTCTTCATGTTCATTTGGTACTGTGATAAATTTTTATTAAAATGTAAATTTAGTAGATGTTTAAACAACGTATGTTAACACTTAAACAAATATAAATATTCTATTTATCTTAATGGCCCTTTTGATAGATAATAAAACAAATTAGCAATTTAGTTAAAATTTAAACTATGCACTTATTAGCTGTTATTGATTATGCGAGCTAGGGAATTCTTTTTGTAAGTTTTTCTGTCGGAACGAAATGAACAATAATTGTCATCCCCGTGGCAGAATCATGGCGAAGCGGCGACATTGTCACAGAACATTACCGAGTTCTTGCAGAATGAGTTTTTCTTTAGGGAGTAAAAAAATTCCAATTAAAAAAAATTATTTTCATACTATTCAAGCACAAGATCTAAGACTTAACTGATTTAGGCCTTAAATTCGAGTGCACCAACATACAATTTAATGTTTAATGTATCTAATTGCTTTCGTGTGCCCAAAGTCTTGCTTTGCTAAAAAGTTTTATGACATTTTCATTTAAAGTATAGTAATATACAGTTAAAAATTAATGTTCAAAAAAGATATCAAAAATAATAATTATTATTAATATTTGGCTAAAAGAAGTTTTATCATTAGGGTTTAATAATTTTATACAATAAGAATAAGCGTATTTATGTTTAAAATTACTTTGTTAAATCAAGTATTTTTTTAATTTTTGATAATTTATGTTCACCCTCTTATTTGTATTTTGCACACATTTTATTTAAGCTATGAAACTATGAGTTTAACTATGAAGTAAGTAATCTATTTTTATCGAGAATCGCCTGCCTCGATTTTTTTAAACATTTTGTAACGATGCTGTTTCCATGGCACAGCAATATTGAAACAATAAAAAAAAGGAATTTTTAAATATTGTATGCGAACAACTCAACATAAGAGGATGAAAAATATTGCAAAATGATCCAAAAATATTAGCAATCAGTAAGAAATAGCTTTATGTCAATCAGTAAAGCCAATCAAAATATATTAGGGAAAGTTTTATCTGTAACAATGATTTCAAACGATGAAATTTCGTATTTTCCATATTTTGCCAAAACTAAATAAGGCAGGAAAGAGATGATTGTTTACTAATCACCCCAAAAAGTTTTGAAACATGTAAAAAAAAATTTTTTTTTAATAAATGCACTTGTTCTTGAGTTACTTGCAAACATACAATCAAACAAGATTTCGCTTTACACATAGAGATACAATATATACATACCAAAGCAAGTACGGCACAAATAATAAAATAAAAAGCCAAAAGAGTTCTGAAAAAATTAATAATAATTTTATTCAAATAGTGTAGTTAATTCTAATTTATATTTTGTCATTCATCGTTTAACACATTGTCACACTTCCAAAATGACTATGACATTTCTAGGCACTAAAATACATCCAATAGCTACTTTTCCAATTTTGGGATGTTTTATCTTAGATTTCCAAAACTGCATCAATTTCCTTCCCTCAATATCTTATTCTTTGATTGTTTCTTTGTCCCTGAATATAGAGATACTCATAAAAATGCCATTTTGGTTTTTTTTATCTATTTTCGTAAATATTTTATAACTAATAATTCGTAAAACTTTAGTAAAGTACTAGTTGCTGTTAAAATGTAAGTACTAAATTGAAAATCAAATAAAAATCGCAAATTTGAAATACTCTTCGCACAAATTGAATTAGTTTGGAAAATTCATGGATTCTAGAAAAAAAAATTTAATTTACTGGAATTCATACCTCAACAAACTTGTAACCCTAACTAAAAATAATCACATGCATATTAATATTTGGCAAAGTTTCTTTCTGTTAATATTTTCTAAAATAACAAAAAATGCAAAATATATATACATAGTAAAAGTACAAAACGAAAATAAAACAAGTAAAATCATACTTCTTCAAATGATACATCAGCTTGCTTCCGATGCCGCCAGAAAACTGTATAGTTGTTAGATTCTTTTTTCAAAACAGGTTCCCCGTAAACAAACACTTTGAAAAAACAAAATGCAACCAAGATAAAATTCAGGAACCATGTAGCAAGATTTGATAAAAGAAAGTTGGCCCATTTTCCTAAAAAACAAAACTTATTATAATATTGATAATAAAAACTTGGAAATTTGTTACCACTTATTCTTTGCCTAGCGATAATTATGATAAGTAAATTAATATGTAAACAAATATATTTCCCAGAATACATTTATTACATATACAAGAATAAAATTTTGTCAATATCCCAATAAAGCTGTAACTTTATTTTCTTACTTAAAAATTAATGTGCATTAAATAAAATTTATTTATAAACTCCTTATAAATATATTGAATTCTTATTATTTCTTTACTTTTATTTCTTGCATATGTACCAAACATGACATATGCCACTTAAAATAAATAAATAAATGACAGAGTATGGTAAAACACAACAGAGGAAATAAAATTAATTTATAAACTCCTTATAAATAAAGTGAAATGCTGCTATTTTTTACCTTTATTTTTGGCATGTATCAAACATCACATATGTCACTTAAAATAAATGACAGAGTATTGCAAAACACAACAGTGGAGCCTTAATTGACCTAGACTAATTTGAAAATCAAGTTTATTTTTTCCTTGAAATTCTATACATGTGCAATAACGTAAATGAATTTATATGGAGATATTTTTTTTTAACAGAAATTAACTTGTAGCCATTGCTTAATCTTTATTTTAAGTACATTTTTACAATAAATTATTGAATAAAAGAAATATTTTAGCAAAATATAAAAAATATGAAACCGAAAGTTATATGAAAGATGTCATTGCTTTAAAGTTTAATATATATTTTAGTATTATTAAAGTAAAATATTTTAGTGCTAATCTCTTAAAACATAGGTGTAATCAACAAAAAAAAATTTAAAAATATAAACATCAATAGCCTATATTTATTAAATATATATTCACAAAATGTGTTCCCCAGCACCTTTACATTAGGTGTGGTTTTCCTAAATGTGAAAAAAGGAAATGATTACCAAAAGGGAAAACTTCCAAGTTTCTGTTTCACAAATTCGAAAATTGTACTAAAATTCGTTATTAAATTAAGTTAAATGTGGTCTTTAATGGCACTAAGTTCAAAAAAATTAATTTCATTTTATTATAAATTACCTTGAGCAAAGAAATTTAAAATTGATGTATCAACTGTAAAAATTTCAGAAATTATGCACAATACTTAACCTTCATTACAATGAATTATAACATTTATGAATAGTGAAACATTCATATACAATGAATTATAACATTCATAAAAATTTCAGCATCACTATCATGAACATTACTGAACCTTCATTACAATGAATTATAACATTCATAAACAGTGGATTTACCTTCTGAATTAACTTCATCAGACAAAATGACTCTACCCGTATGAGATGTTTCATCAGCAGTTCCAGAACTACGCATATTCATTACAAAAGAAAAAGGGTTCAAAAGTAAGAATGAAAACATGAACAAACAGAGCATGACACGACTGTGATCCATCATCCCTCGATTCGAAAAACTGTCGTTGCTGTCTTCGTCGAGACTGATGCTGTAGGGAGCTAACATCTGACTATCTGAACTTCCATTAAATTGTGGAGAATCTTGATCTGAATAGCACAACTCAGTGATACTATTGGAAGGACTGCGTTCTGGAGAACTGATGTCAGAAGTTGGAGGAGTATAATCAGCCAAACTAGGCGGGACTATGGTTGGCTTTTTATCCAACAGGTCTTCTAAGCCTATAATAAGAAAGGCAAGCAAAGCATTACATAACAATTTTTCTCCCTTTTTTATTTTAGGAAAAAGTTAAAGTTTAAAAAAAATTTTTATAGTAAAATGAAATAAACAGGGGAAAAAATATAATTTTATCAAAAGAGATATATTATGTAAATACATATTTGAAACAAAAAAAAACTTTTGTTTTAAAGAAGAAAAAAGCAAAAATAATTAAAATACAAGAATATTAATAGACTATATTAAAAGAATATTATTAGACTTAATAGGTAATCAATATTAATTAATAAAATAGAAAACAACATTATAAACGAGGTAATAGTTTAAATAGTAAAAATCGAAACAAAAATAAAAAGATTAAGTGTATATATAAAAAAAAATACAAAGAAAAGTTTTAAAGAAAAATTTTAGTTAAATAAAAGTTGAAATTGTTAATTTTGTAATAATTTGATACATATTTATACATTTAATGCTTTGACATGTCTAAAACTACATTTAAAAAATTTAAAAAATTACGTTGTTTCTGAGCAGCCATTTTAAGTGCCAAGTTTTCTTGCTTTAGTTTTGAATTAGCATTCTGTAGAAACTTGATGTAATCTATTGCTTTTCTTAAAACAGCAGATTTGTTCAGCTAAAAAGAAGAAATAGTTTCTCAATTATATTTTCAGCAATTTTTGTAAAAAAAAAATTTTATGCATGATAATAAAAGCTAATATCGTTTAAAAACTATTAAATGAAAAAAAAAATTTATAGAAATATTTTTTCAATAATATTTTCTGTGGTTTTTATAAAATTTTTCATACATATTTTAAAAATAATAGCATATTTTAAAAACTTAGGTAGTTATACCCATTAGATTTAAAACTTCTCATAGAAATGTAGATAACCTGTTTTATAAGCAAACATAAATATTATGTATAATAAATTGGTATGCTTTGCATTGAATTAGATAAGTTTGAAAAATACTTATTCATGAAATAAACAATGAAGTTGACATAATTGTAAAGTTAATACATTTAATTACGTGAACACTAACCCCTTAAATTGTAATAAAACATAATAAATCTCTATTGTAAATAAAACAATCAATTAATTAATAAAAAATAACATAACACACATAAGTTATAGCAAAATCAAGAAAGCAAAACAAATATTTTATTTTGCAAAATACTTTGTAATATATAGAACTCTAATTATTCAAAGTGCAGTCATCCCAATTCAAAGTAGATTGTTAATTAATCTGGTCATTTCGATAAAAAATATACATAAAAAGCAAAATAATAGTAACATATGGACTATTGGTTATCTTTTCGATGCAAATTCAAACATAAAATGTACAGAAATTACCTTCGCATCCATTCCAACAATGATGTTTTTCAGTTCAATTATTTTGTCATTGATACTGCTTCTGTATCGTCTTTCAATAGCATTATGCGCATTCTTTTTTTCTCCCTTGATAAATGGGGGCTTTGATACAGTAATACTGAAAAAAATTTTAAACACAGATAAATGACAAAAGATTTTTTTAGCAAAAGAATTTATAAATAATATAAAAAAGTTAGGGAAAAATTACTATTATACTTTGGATCAGCTTACCTTGATGGTGTTTAGAAGCTACAGTGTAATAGTGAACCAAACAAATACAAATGAAATTAAATATTGTAATAATTGAGTTTTTAAAAGTTGAAAAAAATCATTAAGGAGAAATTACAAACTTTACAAATAACTATAGAATTTCATTGTTACGGCAATGTTTCGAACAATATTCCATATTATGTATTTAAAACATTAAATCTAAAAGATAACAAAAGTTTGGGCAGAGAATAATAATATTCTAAAATTTTATTCTTTCTAGCAGCAACTAAAGGATATTATACTAACAAATAAGATTTTAAAAAAAGATTAAATTTTGACATAGGTGGCAAAATATGCTACAAAATTATATTTTTTATGTTACAATATGAATCAATCATAATTATATTTAAAATGATTCATATACTCATCAATAAATGGAATTTAGTCATCAAACTCTAATTTTAAATGATTTTAAAAAAATTTATTATAGTATCAAACTTTACCAAAGCAGTAATAATAGCTAATTATAAATAATAATAATTAATAAATAGTAATAAATAATATTAAATAGTAATAATTAATAAATACTAATAAATAATAATAAATAGTAATAATTAATAATAAATAGTAATAATAAATAGTAATAATAAATAGTAATAATAAATTTTAAATGTATTTAAACTTTGAAATCTAGTAACTTATTGGTAAATTCTTAAAAGATATTTTAAATTAGGGATGCACAACCTGTGGCCCACCAACTCTCGCTCATGGTAGAATCTGAACAAAATAAAACTATTTCCTTTACTCATTTTATTACGCATTTTTATTACGCATACATTACGCATTTTATTTGACATATAAAAAAAATGAGAAATTTGGAATTGCACATTTAAGTGTTTGACATGCCCAATCTTAATCAATATAGTTTTTAAATCATTACATAAAACAAAAAATACTAAAATATATCAGTGATTCAATAAATGAGGAATTGATGTTCATTTTAATTCATCACAAGAGAAAGAGAAACTAGAATTTAATTCCAAAGTAGTGGAGAAATCTAAGTATATGATGTGTGTAACATGCATTTTTTTATTAAAAAAAGGAGAAAAAATAATAATAATACCTATTAAGGGGTAACTTGTCAGCATCAAGAAAAACTGGAATTCCTGTTGTCAATATTGTACCAGCTTGTGGAGCCATAACTGTTTGTATGGGAGCATGTTGAACAGTTGCAATACATTGAGTACTTGCAGTAACTGGAATAGTGGTAGTCACAATAGGAGTTGGGCTAGCATAGGTAACTATTTTATTTTCATTGGCACCTTTCAAAACTTGAGCTTGTAAAAGAAGCTATGAAAAATAATGTCACAAATTAAATATCACGATGTAGTAATGCATACAATCAATATAAAACTAAATTAAGAAACAAACATTCCTTTAAAAATGAGCTTCTTCACAATTTTTATAAAACTATAATCTAAACTAGATTAGATAGCTATTCCAAGCTGTCACATTATAAAACACAGTGATAATTTCAAACCAAGGAACGTGCAGCAATATGCTGTCATAGGGTCATTGGAGTGGATATTAGCAATGAGGTGAATATACATTGCAGGGATGATACATCAAGAAAAGAAATGACCTTTTGTCGCATGTACAATAATGAATTTGTCTCAATAAAAATATTTAGCTCTTTCTCAGCAAAGATCATGGGTGTAATTTATCCAATTATACATGGCTTTATAATTAGTAGATAAATTAATCTGTCATAAATTTAATGGTTTGGTTTTAGTGCCTTCTTTAAAAAAAATTTGATTTTATATCCACTTTAACGCACCTGACCTATGCAGTTTTGGTTTTTCGAACGCTCTCTATGTTTTTGTCATAAAATAACTTATTTCATCCTAATTGTGACATTACATACTCCCACGATTGTCATTTTTAATTTAAATTTACTTTATTAACTTATAGAGACACATACGAGTACATTTATTACATCAGGGGTCTGTCCAGACATTTTGTAAAAGGTCCTGTTTTTGTAAAATTGTGAAAAAATTACTGGTAATTTGTGACTATAAAATAAAAGTTAAGTCACATTCCTTCAACCAGGGTCCTGCTTTTGTGTATTTGTGCAAATATAGGGTCCTGTTATTGCAAAAAAAAAAAAAAAAAAAAAAAAAAAAAAAAAAAAAANAAAAAAAAAAAAAAAAAAAAAAAAAAAAAAAAAAAAAAAAAAACATTTTCAAGGAGTTTTTAAATTGTAAATAGATACAAGATTAAGCTCAGCACTGTAAAATTATAATTTTAAAAAAAATTTAATTTTCAAAAATATACAGCATGTGATGCTACTAAATTAGAGATGCAACATAGAAATATTTGGTATTTAGTCTATACTGCTGAAAGCAGAATATTCATTTCAGGCGAATAAAGGCGAAAAGCGTTTGCCAAAGACAAAACTTTGTTGCTTTACATCTGTCTTACTTTCCCCCATCCCCTGGGAAGGGTTTTTTCGATTAACAAAACAATAACGAAGATAAACAAATTTGTGAAGGGTTCGATATAAAGATAAATTATTGTGTGAAGAGTCCGTTTTTAAGTTAAAATATTTCGTGAAGGGTCTGTTTTAATGAAAAGATATTTTGTGAAAGGTCTGTCAACGGACCCAAATTTCTTCTGAACAGACCCCTGTACATGCATGTAGGACAATTATTAACTTATAGAGACAAAGCGTTACTAAACTTTTAGTATTTCTACCTTGATGAATAATAATGATGTAATGATATGAAAACAAGCGTAATAATAATTCATATCAAATTAAATCAACCAAAACTAATTTATTACTTACTTGTTGCACTTTCTGCTGAGGTAACTGACTTAATTGTTGTAGAAGAATTTGTTTTTCTTTTTCTTGCTCTTTTAACAATCGAATTAAATCATTTGTCAAACTTGCATCAGTCGAAGGAAGAATTTTTTTCCTTTGATTGGCAGGCTGCATAACAACTTTTCGAACAGGTTGATTAGCAATGGTAGGTCGAGATCCTGGAGTAACAGTGTACTGCATCAAATTAACAGATGCCGGTAAAGTTAATGGTTCTGATTGTGTGGTTTGAATTAATTGAGGTTCAAATTTTATTTGAATGTTGTCAAGTGGCTGTGATTTAGGAATTGGGGGTGATACGGTTTGATTTAAGATAGATACATCATTTAAGTTTGAAGAATCCAAGCGCAGAACGTGCTGAGGGGAATCATACAACTTCCTTTCATCTTGAAACGAAACAGTGTCCATATTTTGGAACAAGTCAAATGCAAGATCTTGATCCATGTCATTTATTTTACTGTCACAGTTTAAATCAACTGGTTCCAGCAGTACATCAGAATCAAATAAATTTCCGACTTGATTCTCCGAGTACATAAAGTTCAGCATATCTAAAAAAGATTAAATAGGTGTTAAATAGATTCGCTGAATGAAAACTTAGAAACAATATAAGTAGAACATTAGATCAGGAAAATGTGGTATTAAAAATAAGACAAAATTAATAATAGCTTTCTACTTACCATCAACATCTGAGGGTAGTTCACCCTCCATGATGTTGTTGGTTTCTTTTATTAATTCAATATAAAAAACAATAACTTTTAAGTATTTCTTTTTCTATTCCGTACACGATCCTTAGAAATTTTCACTGGTATTGTTGACATCTTCATTTAATCATTGCATCATGATCACGCCACCAAAATCGTACCACCCGATAGGCCAATGAAAAAGTCACGTTTGAAGACAGACGATGTTTTATAGACAAGTAGACAGTTGTAAGCACAATCGCTCAGAATTTGCAAAAATTTGGTAGGCAAAAAGAAATTAATTTTAATTTTGTATTGAAAGTTTCTTTGAGGATAATTGAACTATAATATTTATTTTTTTGAAAACAAATTTAAATTTTTTTTTCACTTACATAAAACTAGTAAATTTATCTTTTATTGGTAACTTTAACAAACAGAAATAAGTAAACGGAAGCAAAATATCATTAATTCTTTCTGCTTGTTTTCTTCAAAACTAAAATAAACATTAAATATTTGTAAGCTTTTGTTTCGTTATCAGATAAATTAAAATTTTTAATATAGCTCTAAACCATGCTTATTTTAAAGTATTGTAGAAAATGAGAAAACGAAATGATTTCGAATAATATTAATATAGATTATACAACTTGTAGAGAAGATTCGGAAACTAATAATTCAATAATTGACATAACTCATGAAAAATCACGTTTGTGTAGTATATGCCATAAAAGTTTCACGCAACTATCCTGCTTAAAAGAACATTATTTGGCTCATGATACTGAAGTGTCCTGTTCCTCTAATATCTGTGATGAAAGTTTTAAAGAAAAAACTTCATTAAGGCTTGCGCAAGCTCACTCCATTTTTAAACCTGCAGCATATGAAAAAGATTCTGAAAATAACAATTGTTCAGCAACTCGAGATATTGAGACATCTCCTAAAAAATCACTTTTGTGCAGTATATGCAATAGAAGTTTCTCACAACTGGCCTGTTTAGATGAACATTATTTAACTCATACAACTAAAGTATCAGAACCATCTAATGTTTGTCATGAAAGTTTAAAAACAACAACTTCAATTACGCATGAATCTGGTCACTCTGTTTACAAATCTACAACAAATTCTGCAATTAATGATTGTTCAACAACTCATGACATTGATCCAATTCCTGAAAAATCATTTTGTTGTAGTATATGCAATCAAAGTTTTCCCCAACTATCCTATTTAGAAGAACATTATTTGACTCATTCTACTGAAGTTTCATATTCATCTAATATCTCTAATGAAGTTACTCTTGAAAAAACTTCATTGTCACCTGAACTTGCTCACTCCATTTACAAATCTCATTCAGAAAATAGTGAAAATACTCAAGAAATAAATTTAACTTATGATAAACCATTTTGTTGTAGTATATGTAATGAAAGTTTCTCTCAACTATCCTATTTAAGAGAACATTATTTGGTTCATTCAACTGAACTGTCAAATTCATCTGATGTCTATAATGAAAATTATAAAGAAAAAAACTCCTTAACACATGAACTTGCTCAATCTCCTTACAAACCATATTCTTGTAATATATGCAATCGGTCCTTTGCGGATGTGAAATCGTTAACAACACACATTCGAAAATGCCATTCAAGTTCGTTGGAACATAAAAAAACTTTTGCATGCAATGTGTGTAAAACAAATTTTTTATGTAAAGTGTCTTTGAATCGGCATATGCTCGTTCACACAGAAGTGCAAGAAAGATCCCATTCATGTGTTGTGTGTGGTAAAAGTTTCACTTTTAAGTCTTCTTTAGCCAAACATCAGCTCGTTCACAGTAACGAAAAACCTTTTTCGTGTAGCTTATGTGATAAAACATTTGCACGTAAATCAGAAATAGGCCAACATCATCTGACCCATCATAGTACAGAAAGGCCTCATTCCTGTAGTTTGTGCAATAAAACTTTTAAACGAAAAAGTTATTTGACGTCTCACTACCGAACTCATACGAATGAAAAACCCTTTTCGTGTACTATGTGCTGTAAAACATTTGGCCAAAAAAGTCACTTACGTGTTCATTTACTTTCCCATGATATAAATAGGAAGAAGCCGCATACATGCATCACTTGTGGTCTGTCATTTGCAGTAAAAACTCAATTAAAAAATCACAACCTTAAACACACTGGGGAAAGACCTCATAGGTGTTCCCTGTGCGGCAAATGCTTTAGACTAAAAGGAGATTTAAATCGACACTCTCTCACTCATTCTGACGAAAAACACCACGAATGTGAGGTTTGTCAAAAAAGATTTGCATTGAAAGCTCAGTTACTTAATCATTCCTTGATACATTATGATGAAAAGCTTTATGCGTGCAATTTGTGTGGTAAAAGCTTTAAACGGGCTGATTATTTGTATTCTCATAAGAAATATACTCATAAATTAGGAAAAGAAGAACTTAAACTTTGACATGTTCATATTCTAATTAAAATTTTGTCTGGAAATATAAGAAACTTATTTTCTAGTTAATAAAAATGAGTTAAAGTACTGCAGAAGCATTCTCATAGTGTACCACTTTTATTTTTTATCTGCTAGCTGTAATTGTCAAAAGTGCTACTGATGTGATTAAATCAATTAAATTTAGAATTAATTCAGAATATATTTCCTAGAATAGGCTACATATTTACACTTCAATGTTAATCCTTACTAGGATATTTTTTTTATTGATTGTGCGCCACTATCCGGTTCTCATCAAGCTATGGTGGTATTGGTATGGAAACTTACCCAGTACTACCTTTGCAAGCACATTTTTCCCCTCTTTTATTTAAAAAGGGCAATTTCTTATGGGTAAGAAATAGTTAATCTTTTTGAAATCTGTAAACCTGATGCATTTTTCATAATGGATGTTTCTAAGCATTGCAAAGAGTGTACTATAATAAAATCTGAATTAAATTCATTTTTTGAAACAAGTCATGATTTTTTTAAACTTCGAGAATAGGAATTGGTTTGTTCTATAAAGGGGTGCACAACCTTTCTGTGTGAAAGGCTACTTGTACAGCAGGTTGACCTTTAAAGGGCCCAAGTATTTAAACATGTTATCTGCAATGTTGGTAATTTTTACGTAAACGTCATTCTTTTGGATACTAAATTTTTTTCTATCAACCAACTTAATATATTCGCTTCTAAATATTAAAATTCATATTCAAACCTAAAGAATACCAAACAGATACTTTAAAAAATAATAATATTTCCTTCGAATTCAAAAAGTAGATGTATTGAAAAAAATGTACATATATAAAGATAGGGAAAAATTAATGATGTTTTTTATCACATCACATGATATAAAGGTTTGTTTAAAAATAAATAAACTGTTATGTTTGTAGAATAAAATAAATGTATAAAAAGGAATAAATAAATATTATTCTGAGACACGTAAACGCAAATTAAATATTTTAATTGAAAATTTATGGTTGTCTAAAGAGGTGTGAAATAAAACAAACACATTAAAGCTCAAAATAAGCTGGGAACATATTTTTAATTCTAGGGCATTTATAAGTTGGTGAATTATTAGAGATTTTATGAATATTAAATCCTAAATTATTTTTTAAGCTACAAAAAATTTGAAATAATAATCAATAACAGTAAACAGTTTCTTCACACACATTCAAATTCCCCGTGTTGTAATATTACTGTATTAAAATTATAAAGGTTTTCATAAAGCCACATGAAAATAAGTAGCAGCAACTGCATGTACACTGTGTAATAAATTTATGGGGAAATTGGCACAAATAAAGCTAGTATTAAAAAAGGTCGGAATTTTTCGCAACAACCATGTAGAAAAAGGGTTGCGACTACTGAAAAAAGAGACTGAAAAATAAATATGATGAAATTGATGCAAATAAAGAAGGCATCGAAAGTGATTATTAAAATAAGCGATTTAAAACTCACAATTCATATCAATATGGTATCAAAAATAAATATAGATTTTAAAAACTACGTGGACAATCTGAAAATAGCAGCCAAAATCTGGAAAAGGAACTTGGATCAACTATGAAATGGACACAAATTAAGCACAACAAAAAATAAGAAGTTCGAAATGTGCAGATCAGAATGATATATTAAAAATATTAAGATTTTTAAAACAATGTGGAAATCCGTAGCTAGAACCGCCGATAGAAAATCTGCACAGATATATAATGTAATTTGTGCAATTTGAGCGTATTTAAAAATGATAACTCAAATGCAGAGCTACTACTACTGCAGGTCACACTTCGACAGCTGCTGGGCAGCAAATTGTGCACCCGTATTCTGTAAGAAAATTTATTTCTGTGCTAAAAGCAGGGCTGAATTAAGCATATGCATAAGACACCACAGTTTAGGGGTTCTCACAAAGAGCAAATGAAATTTTTTTTTTCTAGAAATGTTTTGCTACTTATTTTAATTCATTTATAAGCTCTTACGCAAGATCATGATTTAAATTAAATTGCTTTTGCTTTATATTTATTTCACTCCCATGAAAGCAAAAGTTTGTATTGCTGGTATTCCATTACAAAATGACAATTTCTTTTTTCCTAGCAAACAACCTACATAGTCGATAGCATGGGTGAAATTTCAGTGGATAGCTTAGCCCTGAAATATGTACAAAATTATAATCGGGGAAAAGCTTTGCGTAAACAAGTGTCAAATAAACTCACAACGCTGATGTGTTGGAATTTATTTGTGTGGATGGTATCAATGGATCCTTTTCACCTCTGAAACATCTTGGGGACTAGACTGCTAATTTCCCCATAAATTTTTACTTTTTTTTCAGCAAAAATTACTCAGTGAAAAGTTCTGTATCTGAACATCCGTTTACAGGAAGGGTTTTTTTTCCCAGACACTTTTTGACAATCAAAATAAACTGAACACTTTTTTTGTTTTCATTATCAAAATTAAATTTTTTTTTGTTACATTTGCCACTTGTTGAAAAAAAGTATGCAGGGATGAGAATCCTCTGTTTTACCTCTAATTCCCGCCTCTTTTTGATTTTTACCCGATTTTCATTTGATTTTAATCCGCTTTCCGCTGAAATATGTGGGGAAAAAATTGGTTATCACGGAAACAAAATTCGGCATTTCATTTGAGAGCGAAAAAAAAATGCGATTTCTTTTTTTTTTACGTCTAGCATAAAAGGATCCTCCAAGAATCACGCACTTAATTTCAGACTGCGCAAAAATTTCACATTTTGAAAAATTGCGGATTTGAGATGAAATTGAGAATATATTTTGATTGGCGGATTGAGAATATAGCATTAAAAGACTATGAAAATCGGTAACAATAACTGACAAAAATGCAATCGTAAATTCACGTGATATTGCTGGTGAATCGTCAATAATTGATTGCACGATTCGAGGTTTGCCGATCAAAATAGTATCGTATTAAAACATCGAGATTTCAAAAACGAGATGAAAATCAGTTTTAATAGCTACCGAAAAAACGATCGGCAAAACCTCTCGGATTCACTGTGGAATCATCGCTAATAATCGAGTAGATTGAGAAATGATTACTAACTGAAATGCGTGATATCGGAATCACATTGAGATTTTAAAAACCACGTGGAAATCTGTAACAAAATCTTTCGAAATAGCGCAACCACGTATATTTATTTGTTATCGTCCATTTGTTATCATTCTTTTTTTTTTTNTTTTTTTTTTTTTTTTTTTTTTTTTTTTTTTTTTTTTTTTTTTTTTTTTTTTTTTTTTGAGTTAGGGTGTTTTGCTAATTGTTTACCTTAAGGACCTATTATCCGGAAAAATCTATTTCCCGGACTTACCTAAGTTCCGACGATTCCGGATATGGGACTTTCAACAGTATTTCTCTATATACTGTTGAAGATAAAATATTCTTGAAACTTTTAAAACTGGCCTTCTTGGTGAAAACTTTTGTTACAGAAAAGTGGTAAGTCTAATGAAAGAGAGGCTCTCGATTGACATTTCTTTTAAATCAATTAAATAATTAGATGCTACATCAGTTAAAATAATTCCCCGTACACTTGAAAATTGAACATTTAAAACACATTTTAGAGTGCAATTTTATATTGATTCAGTGTACGTTTTATGTATTTCATGTTCTGCTCAGATACTTGTTTGATTTTAAAAGTATTCATCCTTTTTTTTAAGTTTTAATAATGCAATGAGGCTAGAAAAAGAAGCAAGCATAACCTTAAATGTGCTAATTAATTAATGCTGTCGATATTTTATGTTATTAAATCAGACGCAAAAGGTAATTTTCTCAGAATATGGATATCTTTTTTTCGACATATTTGGAATTCTGATCCTCGAAATATGGGGGATAGCAGCAATCTGAAAGATAGGGTCCCAATAATTTATGGAGGAAAGAGATTAAAAGTTAGGACTCCTTTTTGAAAATTTCGCCTTTTCTGTGTTTCACAATATATCACGAAAACTTGAGAAACAAATCAAAAAGTTTTTACCCGCAGTTATAAAACTCCATGATCCAAATATAATTCCATGTAAAAAAATAATAATTATTATTTATTTTATCTTATATAATAATTGAAGATAATTTGAATTATAAGGTAGTACATTTTAAAGTTTGTAAGTTAAAAAAATTGTTTTTACATGTAATTATCTTTGAATTAAGGAATTTTATTATTCTGTACCAAAATCGTTTGATTATCTTAGAAACTTTTTACGATTTAACAAAATGCACAAAAAGTTAAATCAATATTAAAGGGTTCAGACTGCCACTTAGTGGTTTAAACTATTGAGACCATATTTTCTAGATTGTGGATAGCTAGCATCCATATTTTGAGGGTCAGAGTTTAAAATTCGCCAAAATAAGGTATGTTTATTCAGAGGAAGTATGTTTTTGTATCGGACTTCGTAATTTATTAGCTAATTAAAATATCGTTTGCATTAATTAATAATCCTATTTAAGATTAGACCCTCAAACTCATTAAATAGGAGTCCTGGTATGTGGAAATGAGATTATTTAATCAAAAATTATTCAGTGTGTTCATTTTATTTATTTTAGGCTCACCAATTCTCAGAAAACGTTGAATCGATATTCGAAAACTTCCTATTTCTTTATTCTGGTAATGGGGCTCGATTTTACAAGTTTTTATTGTGGACTGATCGTAAAGACACGATTCCCAGTAGAACGCCGAAGTCAAGCATCACTGGTTGTGATCAGTAACTGGTTGGGTGACCACTTTGATCAGCCTGCGTAGGGACCGAGGTTGCGCGGTATCTGTCCTCGTCAAACTGTTTTACCGTAAAGTGCTCGAATTCGCGAGGAGGTCGTCAGGCTACCAAAGCAGAGAAGCTATCCCCTCTGCCAGAGGATCAAAATTGCGATGGCATGTTTTCGGATCATCCTCATGGATATTTTCCAGTCCCGCAGTGGACTGATCGCTAAGACACGGTTCCCAGCAGATCACCGAAGTCAAGCATCACTGGCTACGGTCAGTGTGCGGGTGGGTGACCACTTGGAGGGGGGTCACCCAATACAACACACCGACCAATACAACACACCGAGGGTGTGTTGTATTGGTCCTCGTTAAACTGTATTACCGTAAAGTGCTCGACTTCGCGCGCAGGTCATCGGGCTACCGAAGCGGGGGTGCCATCCCCTCCGCAGAGGATCAAAATTGTGATGGCATGTCTTCGGATCATCCTCCGGGATGTTTCCCAGATCGTCGCCAATAGCCCATTGTGCTGCTCTAGTGCGACGTAAATTAACAACAACGGATATTTCCCAGATCGTCACCAATAGCTGAATTTTGCAGCTATAGGGCGACGTAAAATAAAGTACTTACCTACCTATATGCCTTTTACTCGGAAATAAAGATTAGACTATCTCATATATCTTTCATACATCTGGCAACGTACATTGAAGTGAGAACTGAACTGAATAACTCAGTAATCAATAATCAATCGACTCCAACGTTGTGAGAACACGTTGTGGG